GTTTTTAAACAAGAGAATTTTTAAAATTCGGAATTGAAATCCTTATGAGTTTTAAACTTCTTAAGATAACTAAATCCTTGAACTTAAATTTTACGAAAATGTAGTTTGTATGAAAGTAAATAAATTAAAGGATGTGTATATCAAACATGCTTCGAATAATTAAAGGATTTGTAAAATAACAAAATATTGTAGGAGAAGCATTATATGTATCTAATAGATGCAATCCATGTATTTTAACAGAAAACGATATTTAGGCACAACATAATACTATAATATTCTACAAATTTGTAAAGCAATAACACAACTTGCAAAATGTTATTGAAAAATACCAAAGCAGCCAATTGCAAGACCCTTTTGAAAACCATAAAAATGAAATGAAAGAGACGAGCTGGTTTACAAATTGTATAAAAAGCATATATATGTATTCATAGAGGATTATATTGGGTTAAAAAAGTTTTCATATACATAATAAAAGAGATTTCACATTTTGGTTTTTGTTTCATCCGTTCGAGTGCACTTTTTAGCGAGCAGCCTACCTAACCGAGTTTCTGCAACTGTCTATGGAATCCTGCGGCCGCCTAGGAAGGATCACTGTTTGTTCAATCAGATCGTGCTTAGGAATCGGGCAGCACTCGAGGACGAAGCTCCATTATGGTCGAGTAAAGTCAGAAGAGAAGGCTGCTACGCACATATAGTATAACCTAAATAAACCGCTCGCTTTGAGACTACACAGAAGGTAAACAGACAAAAATGAATCAACATACAATATAAATCGGATTGGATTCGCTTAGCCTAAATGCATAGTACAATAATAATCCATTGTTAATCGCGTCTAAATACATAGTAGGAATACAGTTGTTTTCTTGTGTGTTTCGCTTGATAGGAGTGATATGAAGTGAGTCGCTGATGGTTGTTTTTCTTTGATGGAGCAATTGCATTGCAGGCGTTTTGTATACGCGGCAGGTGTATGTTGGTTGTGTGTATAAATGTATAAGGTGTGTATACCTAAATCCTACGAATATATATATGGAGAATGCGAAATTAATACAGAATACGTAGCGCCCGTCGTTTCACAATTGAGAGTAGAATTAAAGCGCGATCGCAAACAAAATCTGCGTACAAAATATATGTTGTGTATATGTAGATATACGACTTGTTTGTATAACTATAGATTGCCGCCTCCGTTCAGCGCGTATATTAAAAATACACCCGTCTGTCTATTGCTGGGCCTGCATGCGCGCTTGCATCTGGGCGATCATCTCCTGCATGCGCCGCAGCTCGGCCTCCTTCTCCTGCAGTATGCGATCCTTCTCACCGAGCACGCTATTGGCCACCACCTGCGAGGTGCTGTCCCGTTCGGCCTTCACCCCGTTCTCCTTGCCCTTGATGCCCTTGGCCAGGCGGTCGGAGCGGTAGTTCTCGTAGTGAACCTCCTGCGTCACCTCCTGTAGGTCCTGCATGTGGGTGCTGTAGGGTATCAGAAATATGGGCCAATTAGAAAACGATACATTTATTACTATTGTACTACACTTACATCAGCATGGTGCGCAGTTTAATGAAGTCGCAGTGATCGGGATTCTCTACCTCGACCACGCCCCATGGATAAAGGCGACCGCGCACCTTTTTGCCCTTGACCTCTAGCAAAGTGTTGGCGCCGCAGACGGCGAAAGGCACAGCTTCCTTCAGTTGCTTCACCTGCTCCTTGTACTCCTCATCTTCGTCGGAATCACAGTCTGGCAGTGGATATATCTTGATGCCGTGGCTCTCGATCTCCTGCAGGATGCGGCATTTTAGGCGCAGGATCTCTTTCTTTGTGAGGCAATCGGCCTTGGCGATCACGGGCACAATGTTAACCTTGGAGTGCAGCTTCTTCATGAACTCCACATCGAGCGGTTTAAGCCTGCAATAAGCGAAGAGAAAACATAGAAACTAATGGGTGCATAACAGTTTGCAGATAAATATAATACTGGCTTATACTGAGAAAAATGAAGACCAATTTATCATATGTATATATGATTTTTGCAGCATCTAGCAAACTTTAAAAAATTTTAGTTCTATTCTGTATATGGGTAAAGATTTTTTAGTCCAATACAGGTCGAGTAGAATATATGGTTAGCGCAAAAAAAAATACTGTTTAGCTTGCAATTTTTAATAATCGCAGCCAATTTGTAGGCCATACTTAAAAGATAAGCAAAGAGAATACACACCCATGCCCAAAGGGCGATATAAAGTAGAAACAGCAATGAATGCGATTGTCCACAATGTTCCGTCTGTTGAGGCCACTTTCGTCGCGCAGGAAGCGCTCGTATTGCTCATCGATGTACTCGAGTATGGCGCCAAAGCTGTTGGAGTTGTCGATGGCATCGCCGAATCCGGGTGTGTCTACCACGGTCAGTCGCAGCTTGACGCCGCGCTCCTCGATTTCCACCGTCGATGCCTCCAGCTTTACCGTCTGCTTCTGTTTCTCTGTAAAAGAGAGAGGTCCATTTGATATGTATTTAAAGTTGTCTCTGGAAAAAGTAGGTACCCACCTATGGCATCCGGAATAATACGCTCGGGGTAGAGATCCGTAAGGAAGAGGCTGTTGACCAGCGTGGATTTGCCCAGCCCGGATTCACCCACCACCATCAGTGTGAACTCGAAGCCCTTCTTTACAGACTTGCGATGCACTTGGTTGGGCAAGTTTGCAAAACCCACGTAGCCAGGCGTCTCAATGCTGGAAAACTGTGGATAAAAAGTAAATAATTTACCTTTGGTTGACAGCTCTAATGTCTAATTTCTGAATATCGCCAGCTTGAAGCATTTTAAAAACCATTTGGGACTAACTAAGACTATCTGACGCAGACTATTTTTTATAAGATCTACCTAAGAGAGAACTCATTTTTTACCTTGATATCGTTATCTATAAATAATTATTTCAGAGTTATAGTAAAATAATAATGCATTTTATCAGGATGCAAAATAACTTTGGGTAGTTTTGCATGTTTTATTTTGGGCAATGTAAGGTTTAGTGTTTAAATTGTAGTATTATATTTTCCAGTAATATTAGTCGCTGAGCTGCAGGTATGACATTTTTGTTAAGAAAGATTCTCAAGAATGATTTCTTTGAAGGAATTTTTAAAATATGAATAAATTTGGAAAAAATTGGTGCTCTTGATTTCGGTCATTTTTTTAAAACCATGAACCCAGTTTAGAAAAACTTTAAAAGTTAAGTTAGATATAACTTTGGTTTGTCTTTGGACTAAAAATACCACTTTAAAGGCGATGTTTATCATGTATATAATTTAATTTGCATATCAATAATATTGTTAAATGTTTTCCCATAAAATAGTTTTTTAACCTTTTTAATAAAATGATCTTTGATCTTTCTTAATTGGAAAAGCCATGTTATAGGGGTTATTTCTGGAAGTGTAAATGTACTATGTTTAAACTTTTTTTTGTGCCTTATTAAATAAAAGTTTAGGAATATTTAGGATCTAAAAAAGGGAAAACAAGGCGTGGTTTTAGCATTAACTTCTTAGGTATTTAGTGTTATGATTGCTGTTAGTCTGGCAGTTTGAGTTTTGGGTCTTAGAAAGCGATTGGCTAGATTTGCATGCCCATCACGCGCGTTGGAAATTTCTATTGGGCCACCAAAACAAAGGCCTCAGTTTCTCCAGAGCAGAAATTGTAATTACTAAGAATGTGGGTCACAGGCGACCAGAGGAGCGACAAAGATCACGAAAACAAAAGCAGAATGCCGACGCCACCGGCATGTTGTGAATCACTTGATTTCGATTTCCATTCCCATTTCCACTCCCGTTCCCCCTTCCGATTTTAGCCGAATGGTCGAACGGCGGGGGAGGAGGACCGGCCGATAAATGGGTGAGGGATGGAGAGCGGCAAACAAATGAGCAGCAGCGGCGGAATCGGCATTGTCGGCATCCAATGCATTTGCAATTCGGAATACCAGCTACATATGTACACAAGAGGCACACCACATCCACACTCCGCCGGATTGTAGTCATCCGGATTTGCAATCGACACTTGGACAAATAAACAGCGGCTACTCACGCCCTTTGTATCGGCCATTTTAAAAAAAAACACGAAACGAACGAAGAAATCAACGTAATGACGAACAAAATATCAGCTCGACCAGTGTGACCGCAGCACGGAACTGGCAGAACATGCCACCAGTGGGACCAGCTCAACGATGAAGGAAAACCCCAAATTTTAGTTAAACATACCATAGATTTCATTTTTGGTCTTCTTAAATAACAGTCCATTTTAAATTTATAGATGTTTTAAGATTTTGCCAGTAAAATTACCCCATTTGCACCACTTCAAGAAAGTACACAAGCATCTAGTCTTTAATAACTTTTGAAGCTTTACCAGTTAGGAAGTTTTTGTGATAAGTATAGTTGAATCATTTTATTGTGGTACACATTTTAATTCAAAAAAAAGATCTTAGCTTAGGTAAAATAGTTATAAATGGCTATACGTTATATTCCCGTAGCTTCTGAACCACTAAAGTTATCTCTTAACACGCAAAATATAATTATTGCATCTGTACTCGACCATTTTGGACCAGTGACGTGACTGTTAGCAGCAAACGCATTTTAGGATTTATGTTTTATTATTATTATAATAATAATATTCCATACTAAAATAAATAAAGTCTTAAATGAAGTATAAAATAAACTAGTTACCTATAATGCAAATTTCTCGTTTTTTTGGTTTTCCTATCTATATATTTATGAAAATTAGCTTTATTATACCATTTTTTAAACTCTTCTTCATAAGTGAGATTTAACCATTTTTTTGCGTTTAAAGTTGAAAAAATAAAAACCGATGACTAAAGGTATCCACTGTAATGCTAATTAAACTGGAAGGTTTTATTGCACATAGCCATAATATTTACAACACCTTGGCTTGGCTTTTTAAAACATCTTAAACATTGCCTGTCTTTCTGCAGGACGACCATCCTTTCTTCTTTTAAAATATTTAATTACTCAAATAAATTTCGCTTTTATAACTTGTAGTCTTTATTTTTAAAACAATACACATATTAATATTGGATGCACTTAAATTCACAATACATATCTATATAATCCATAAACATCGGCGTTTAAATCAAAACATATATCATTTGATCTTGATGGAATCGTGCCGAGATCTTCGGACTCATGATATCGGCTTCCGGACTCTGCCGTTGCCAAACCAATATGCTCCGCTGTTCCAAATGAGACGTAGTACATAAACACATCATATCTGCACGGATCTATCTATACACATATATATGTTTTGCTTAGTTGGTTGGTTTAAGCTTTTGGTTTTCTTCGCTGTGATGTGATACTTTAACAAAACATCGACTAGAGTACGGGTAGAAATGAGCGGAGACGCATGCCAACAATGACAGATCGAGAGAGAGCCTCAACAGTGGCCTACTACTCATATCTCGCCATTCGCTTTCCCAAGTCCCAATCCAATCTCATCTTAGGTGATCAGCCGCGGGGCGTGTAATCCATGCACATTCTCGATGGGCGGACAGTGGGTAGCACCGGGTGGGCCCCAGTCGTGAAGGCCGCGAGAGTTTGCCAACCGATGGGTTAGCCGGTGGGCAATACTAAAGCCACCACTGCCCTCCAGTTGGGTAAGCACGATTATAACTTGTCTATGGTTATTATAACAAATAATCAGTTAATTTAGCAATTTAATTTAGAATACAGAGAACCCACCTTTGGAGTGGCGGCACTGAGTCCACCGTCTTGAGTTCGCCCCTTGTGGACACCACATTGTAGCTTTCCTGGCAGTCGCATTTTACATGGATCCACTTGTTCTCATGTCTATTCTCCACCATCACAACCAGACCCGCCCAGCCCTGTAATAGATATTCAATTAAATTATCCCATCCCTTCAATAAGATTCACATTTCTTTAAGCACTTTCCTTGGTCAGATAATAGGCGGTCATGCCCTCGCGCCCCTCGTGTCGCTGCCCTTTTGTTAAGGTCAGGCTGATAATGGCGTCCGCCAGGAGGTGCGGAGAGGGACTAATCTGCTCCACCAGAAGTCGCTTTGAGCTATGTATTGCCAGTATGCACTGCGGATACTGGTGCGGATCTTCGATGCCCGTGTGCCAGTGGTTGAAAGCCAGGCACACAAGCAGGTAAATATCCCGCTCTAGCATTTTATGGCAGCCCACAAAACCGCGCACCTGAAGTAAGATATTTTGCTATTGTTAGCACACTTAGACTACCCTGCGTATCAGAAACACCCACCTGCCGCTTGCTGTGCTCTACTAAACGACCTATTTCTGGCGCCGCCGGAGATCGGGTGCGGAAAATCACAACGCACAGGTCCAGCTGCGAGCGTTGCGACTTCTCCGAGTTGCGCTGTCCCTCCTGGAAGAGCGTAAACTCCGCCTCCGTCGGCTCCAGCACAGTGAGCAACACACAAGAGATGGAGCACAGGGGTTGCAAAGTGCCCTGCAATCGCACTTCGTTCCAGCCGGAGCGCACCTTGCAGATGTCAATGCAGTCGAAGTAGTTAAGAACGTCCTCGAACGAGATCCAAAAGACACCCTCACTAGCGCCGTGCGGCATTAGAGCATCCCGGAGGTCGTCCGTCCACAGGGAGGAATCATCCGACCAATCACCACGCCACGAATAGTGACCCCACGGATTGCGCAGCTTAAGCAGTCGATGTCCCTGGATATCTTTCACGTCTAGCACTGAGTAAGCGTGTCGCGGGCGCAACCCCTTTTGCTGATACTCCTCTTCGTCCACCTGTGGTTTAGGGTAAATAGTCAAATTAATAAATATTTTGTATATATTCGTAAATGTGAAGGACTCACCTTCATGTTGCCACCGCCACAACTGGCGCCCATAAGAAATCGTACACACCGCGAGCTTAGCAGCTGCGCCCATATCAGGTCCTTGTCCAGCTCATCCTCGCTGGGCATGGGCAAGCTGCTCGCCTGAAGCGGTATGCTCTCGCAAGGCGCTCCTGTCAGCGTGGCCAGTCCCTCGATGGCTCTGCCGGAGACCAGCGCCTCATAGCAGCCGTGGATTTTGGCCACTGCCTTCTCGATTAGCGGCACCCATAGTTGCTTGCGCTTGGCCTGCGAGTAGACTAGATGGCCCCGTTTATCGCACGGTAATAGATCATCCACTAGCACAGTCGTCCACTTTCCATCTTTGCAGAGGCGTACTTGGTATGCGCCTTGGCCACATATCTCCTTTGTGACCAGCACCTCCTTGACCAGATCCTCGCGCTCCGCTAGCACCGCCAGCGCACTAAGTAACCAGCAATTGCCCAAGACTCCTTGGCAAATGTCTGAGGGCAGCGGTGTGCGGAATACAGCCCACGGTGGATACGCCCCGCCATCGCAGTTAATTTCATGCGGTCGTCGCCACTGCACCACAGGATTGCCCTCGCCTGCTCCGCTCGCCGGGTTGTAGTACAGGCTCTTTGGTGCCGGCGGAAACGAATCATCCACGAAAAGCTCGTTGTTGTCACGGCAGTACTGGATAATGTTTTGCCATTTGGTCAGCGCCTCTGTTTCCTCCAGCTGGCGCAGATTCTCCATCAGCTTGCTCTCCTGTCTGATATCTGCCGGGGTGAGGGCAACTCGAATGGACTTCCTGGCCATAGCCTCTCCCAAAACAGCGCTTGCCAGGCCACGCGGACTTGAGCAGATGTCACATACCACGGATGCAGCACAGTTTTCGTATGTACAAGCTGGGCACTGCCACTTTTTTGAGCTGGCACTGGCTCCAGCTCCTGAGGCAGATACTACGGATGCGGTGCCCTGCTGCAAGTTGTAGTTGGCCAGTCCGGCAATAGAGATGTTCCTGGGAACAATGGAGCCGCCTGTGCTGTGACGTTTAGGTATAGCTCCAGAAGAACTTGAACTTCTCTGCTGCTGGAGCGATGGCAGTGGCTGCATCCTAGGCGAGGGACTGCGCGACCCACGCAGTCCAGCTGCCGATGACGTTGGAATTTGCAGCATCGGCATGGGCAAGGCCACCGAAGCTAGTGGAAGATTCAAAGCTGTTGGTGTTTTGACTTCGTTGGTGCTTGTTTGGTGGACGCTGGATCCACTACTACTTCCACCCCCGGCTGCTGCAGCATCCTGCTCCTCGTACGACTGGCCATCCGGTCGCTCGCGCACCGCTTCCATAGTCATTGAAAGCTGCGGCTGACGGTGCGACTTGCAAGCACTGCACACCGGTGAGTGAAGCGAGTTTTTCAGTGTGCAGTGGCTGCAGGTCCAAAACTCGCCCTTTCGTAGAGTCATGTCCTCGATTGATGAGATGCTCTTCAACTTGGAGCCGCCGCAGACCACACAGGCCATCGCCGAGGAGTAGTTTACCAGGGTGCACTTCTTACACGTCCAGGGCTCGTCGCGGGGGGTTTCTAGAAAGATATTGGTCAGACTTTGATTTATATAACTCGCGGTAAACCTTACCTTTTTCCTGAACACCTGCCAGCTGTTGCTGCTGTGAATGGTGCTGCTGCTGCTGCTGGAGTTGCTGATGCTGCTGCTCCAGTTTGGCCTCGCACATTTCGCAGGCCTGCACCCAGAGTCGGTTGTAGGCATAGGAACATTTAATGCATGTCCACATCTTACTGCGGCTGCCGTTGCTGTTGCCCAGCTGTGCTTTATTGTCGTGCCGTGCGGCAGGAACTGCGCCGGCTGCTGCAACTAACGCTCCGACTCCCGAGGATGATGTTACTGCTGTTGCGGATGGGGCTAATATCAGGCGACTACTGCTCCCGGGATCATGCGTACTGCAAATTGAAAACAAAACAATCAATTATATTGCATTCAAGTTCAAAATTAATTCAAGCCGGGAGATAAACAAAATCATAAGTGAATTTTATAGTCCACTTGTCGCACAGTTTGTCATAACTCAAGCTGCATACAGCTATGCATATAGAGATTATTATTTGCAAATAGCCTAGTTGAATCAGTCAACAACGAACTTTTTATAGAAACTACCTTTTACAAGTTATGACAATCTGTTAAGTAAGCCGAATAAGTAAATAATACACTTATAGTTTTAAATTTAACTTAAATAATAAAGCAAAACTCATAACAAACAGAAACAAGCTGGTAGCCGGTAAAAATACCGAGTTTAAACAGAATGCCCGAATGACTAAGCGCCACGCAAATTATCAGCAAAAAAAAAGTTTGTCAACTGATAAGCGGAACAAAGTCGTTTTGGTTTGGAGGGAAAGGAAATTGGATGGGTGTTGGCTAATCTCCGAAGCCGGCTCTCTGGCAATTACATTTTCGATTCGGTCGTCTTGCGTGGTCCCTTCCACACCTTGGCGTAGATGGAATGCTCCTCCACTTGCGACTCAGATTCACTGGCCTCGCCGCTGCCATCGGCGCTGGTACCCAATCCTGCGAGGGATTCACTGACCGCATCCGTAATCTCTCCACTGCCATTGTTGTTTGTTTGCGTTTCGTTGACAGTCTGTTGCTTTTTTTTCAGCTTGTGCTGTTTGTTCACCTGCGCATATATGGGCATAGTAGCTAGAGGAGTTGGCTCCGCCGACGCCTTGCCAGATGGCGTGCTCGCAATGGCCACCGCTGTGGCGGCTGCCTGTGCCGCCTGAGCAGCAGCTGCTCTTAGTTGCTGCTGAGCCAAGGCCACACACTCGTTTTCATACAACTTGTTGCTGCTGCCGGAACTGCTGTTGTTGTTGATGCTGTTGCTGTGATGGTGATGATGATGATTTGTGCTGGAGGAGCCAGAGGAGCTGTTGGCCATTGGCTCCGACCACTCGTTGACGGCTATGAAGACGCCGTTCCGCGGAATGGTGAACTGCGTTGGATTCATACTCACTGCTGCTGGCTCCCGCTGGGTCTTCCTCTGCAACTGCTGTGGATTTCCCGGCGTCTTCTGCTGCTGCTCTTGCTGGAGATTCACATTCAGATTAAGGGGCTGACGCAGTGGCTTCATTTGGCCTTGGCCGGAATCCTTGGCCGCCGAACGCGAGAGCGTGGTTATGGTGAAGTTATACTTCCGCTTGGCTCCGCTCTCGCGTACCACTTTGTGATTTTGGTTCTTGTTGTTGTTGTTCTGCTTGCGCCGGCAAAACGTGTCGTTGGCGATGGCAAATCGGGAGTTGCTGCAGGCGGCCACCGGGGGAATACCTGCGAGAAATAAGTTAAGTTCATTTATCTGCGTTAATAAGTTATTTGAGCACAAGTGCACAATACTCACTTGGATCACTTTCAGAGATTTTAATTACTACATATTTCCAATCCCTTTGTTATCATTTAATGATATATTCTAAAGTCTATTAATTGTAATTACAACTCATTGTTATCTTTTACTGATATATTCTAAAGTCTATTATTTGTAATTAAAACTCATACAACTTAAAGCCATTAAAGTTTTTAAATTTTTCCAAAAATATTAAAGCAGCTTCTCAAGTGGTATTCCTTGGCAATGAAATCATTTTTTAAGGCTAAACCAATTGATTTTGCAAATTAGTAAAATAAATAGAAAATACTGCATCAGCCATTAGACTATTTTTCTTGCCCTTAATTAAGGGAGGCGAAGCCTCTATTTAACGCTTTAAAGGATCTCTTTTATCCATTTGTGATCCGTGGTTTTAAGTGGTTTTCTTATTATTTATTATTATATAAATATCAACATTATTCATGATGTTATTCCTAACTATTTGTCCATAATCCCTGCATTCTATCGTTATTATTATCAATTTTAGCAAGCTTATGAATTATTGTTTTTCCAAACTTTATCTATTTATATGGCCGTATGTAATGTCTATTTCCATTATGCTTTATGTATTAACATTCGTCATCCACGATTTGAATTAGTATTGCCTTAGAACTAGCTTTGAAACGAACCTGTCAGCTGCGGCGTCGGCTTGACCTGCGGCAGATTGAAGATGTCTTTGCTTTGGTTGTTCGCATAGCAAATGTGACAACTGCGCCCGGAGGTGCTCTTGTCGATGGCGGTGCTCAGGCTTTGAGTGCGCCGCAGTCCAGATCCCGATCCAGATCCAGATCCCGATGCAGATCTACCCTTGAGGTGCCGCTTGTGCGAGTGCTGGGAATGTAACTGATGCTGGTGATGATGCTGCTCCTCCAACTCTTGGTGGAGGTGGTGATGATGATGATGTTGGTGGTCCGCCGCCAGCAGCTCTCCGTGATTGCCCAGACTGCCGGCCAGCTCTTGGCCTCGGTCGGCAGCGATGGCGTCCTTGTAGATGGGCGCCAGGTAGCTGACCGTGTCGCAGATGATGCAGTGCCAGGTGACCGAGCTGTTGTCCGTGCCACAGGCGTGACACACCCACCGGCGGTTGAGGGCCGGATTCGAGAAGTGGCGGTACAGCTCGATGGAGCTCTTGATGTACTTGCGCGTGTCCTCGCAGTCCACACAATTGGCAGGCAGATTCTGGCTGTTTCGCTGTGGTCTTTTCAAGCATCCGCGCAGCAGGGACTTATACACATGCTTGTACTCACTCCTGCAAAATAGGTAAACGGGTTTTTGTTTTTCGTCGGGTTTGGAAGGGATTTTGTTCTATTGGGCTTTCCCAACTTGCTGCTGACCGCAAAGGTTATCTCAATGACTGGGCATTTTCCTACTCTCTGCTCGTCCGTCCGCCTCGGGAGTTCTTTTGCTCTTCAGCTTGCCGAGCGAGTTCGCGAATCGATAAACTTGTAAACAATGCTTCTTTATCCAAATCGATTTTCCCCAATTCTCGCTGCTCGGCTGTTTTGTTGTTGCTTCTGCCGCTGCTGTGTATACATGCTCTCTCTTACACACACGCACACACGCTCGGGGACAATCACCAGTGCGGACATCTTGTCTTTAAAAGCTAGGTTCTGGCGACTTCCCAGTCTTTAGCTTTTACTCATAATTTCTAATTCTTCGAAAAATGCAGTATTCAAAATAAAAAACCTCCCTCTCCTTAAGTTCACTTACACCTAGTGAGCTAATGCTAATCCGAATGTTTGGACATAAAACTTTGAATCTGAATTATAAGCGGTAAAAAGACTAAATTATGCGTTCTTAAAAAGGTTTGCTACTAAGGAGTACCACGCTTCCTTCCGTATCCATCTAAAAGCCACTATTTGGGTACAGTTAATTCAACTAAGGATACTTTTATAGAAGCTTAGTAAACAGTAGTTGAAATTTCAAAATTGTAAATTGTTTGGATGCTTATATATTTCTAGTTGGCGTATTTTTTCTCCAATTGGATGTCAACACTGGTGCTCTCAAGCACACGGACGAACACACACACACTCATAAAAGGGGCACAGGCTGTTTGTTTTTGTGGCGACCGCTCCGCTTACCTGGCAACTGCCGCCCTGCCCTTCTCCTTATCCTTCTCCGCCTGTTCCTGATCCAGTGCATCATCAGCTGTCCAGGAGGCGGGGACTCTTCGTTGCTGTTGCTGATGTTGTTGAGGAAACACTTTCCGAACGGTGCCGCAATTGAAGCACTTGAGCGATTCCGTGGGATTGATCGTGTTGCACTTGGTGCACGACCATTGAAGCACGGATGAGATAGTGCCCATTTCGCGGGGGACACGCAAAAGTTTTAAGTTCCGTTTCGAATTGCGAGCTTCTGCTGCTGTTGTTGTTGTTGGCTGGCTGGCGGGGGAGTGGATGTGGATTTGGATGCGGATGTGGAAATGGAACTACCAATGGAAGTGGTGTGTTGGTGCGTTGGTGACCGGGCGGAGATGGAGATCGATAGGAGGACCAGAACCCGGGACCAAAACGAGGACCAAGCAATGGCTTCCAACAGTTGCACGCCGCGTTCTCCGTCGCCGTTTCACACCATTTTTTAACTGTTGCCGCTAGGGTTGTCGACGTGCGCAAACACCTGCAACGACAGGGTTACCCGAGTGCGTGAACCCTGCCTGACAGGGTTGTCATGTCCATTATGTTACCCCGAAAAGCCAGTGTTGTACAATTACAAAACAATAACTAACATTTTTGCTAAATTGATTAGAATAGAAAGCGACCAGGGTGCAACAACGAAAATCAAAACGCAGGCCTTCTTTATCTTCGCAATTAAAAAAAAATAATTAAATTAAGAAACATATTAGAAAAGGGAATTAGATATGTTATCCTCTCCTCAGAAGTATATAAAGTTCACCGCCCCATTTTTAAACATACATATGTACATAGATGCTCAACCAAAAAACAGTTATAATTAACCTCCTACCACCAGTTGTAAAGTATTACAAATTATATTTCTGATTTTGGTAACGCTTCAAATAACGCTTTAATATAAAAAACAATCAACAATTTTGAAATAAATATATTCAATGCATTATATAGTTAAACGAAAATTATTGAGATAATGGCTGTTTTAATAACTTAAACAAAGCAGTTTGTTTACAATTAATATTTACCAATAAATAAAATTATTCAATTCAATTAGGTCCACACTTTTAGCTTAGAATAGCTAAAATACTCTTTTGGTATTACACGGCTCTTGGTATACTTGTACTCTCTGGTCACTCTCATCAACGCACGTGTAGTTTTTAGCAATAACATTTGCTAATAGTTAGTTTAAGGATCGAAATAAACGCATAAACCATGGTCAGTTCAGAACCGAAAGGACCTGCTAACGTGGCCAAAGTGGTCAAGCCCCTTAAGGCCAATAGACCGCCAGGAAAATTCGTCAATGGACAGAAATTTAAGCCCGGTGGAGCAGGAGGCGAAAGAAAATTTGACAAATCTGGAGGAGCACCCGGTAAAAAGTTTGAAAAACCGGGCGCAGGTGGTGCCAAGAAGTTTGATAAATCCGGACCAGGTGGCTTCAAGAAATTCGATAAATCTGGATCAGCTGACGGCAAGAAGTTTGGTGGTAACAAGTTCGCAGATAGCAACAAGTTTCGCGGAAAACCACAAACACAGGCTCAAGCTCCTGCGGAGGGTGAAAAACAGGACTGGAACAAATTCAAGCAGGAGAAGAAGGAGCTAAAACTAAAGCGCAAGAGCTCCAAGGACACCTATGAGATTACCAAGGAAGCCAAACAGATCTACGAGAAGCTCCGATGGTAAGGTTTTCGAAAAATCATGAGTTTAAATTACCCTCCAAACTACAATAACAACTATGTCTTGACTTAAATTCATTTATTTTACAAGGATGGTAATATAATAATATTATTTCCCATAATATTGACATTAAGAATATTAGCCTTGTTCTTCATTTATTTACCCGTGGTAAAATGTGAATAAGCTATAAATAGCTTCTCATTTAAAATGTTTTATTGACTTCATTTTATGTTCCCTATACAGCCGTCGGACGGAGAACAAGGACAAACTGGTGCAGGAAATCTACAAGGTACTCAATGTTGGCGACACCATCTCGAAGGTTGTGAAGGCCCACGATACCGCCCGCATGCTTCAGTGTATGCTGAAGTACGCCTCGCCAACTTTACGGACTGAGATCTCTGAACAGCTACTACCCTTCACCGTAGTGATGTGCCAGTCAAAGTACGCCCAGTTCTGCGTCCAGCGAATGCTTAAATACGGCGCCCCTGCCACAAAATCAAAACTGGTTGACAGCCTATACGGCCATATAGTTCGTTTGGCCGGACACAACATTGCAAGTGGATTGCTAGACACAATGTACCAGGGTGCCACGCCCCAACAACGCATCTACATGCGCCAGGAATTCTATGGCGATCTGTATCGTAAGGCAAAGGATTCGAATGTCAAATCGTTAAGCGACACCTACAAGGAGGCCGCCAATATGAAGGCCTCCATTTTGGGCTCAGTGAAAGCGAATCTGGATCACGTGGCCAACAAACAGCTGGTGGACAGTTCGTTAGTTCACTCGGTTATGCTAGAATACCTGCGCGCCTGCAACGAGGATGAGGAGAAGCTGGAGGAGACGGTTACTGCTTTTGCGGCTCTTATGCCTCACATGTTGTCGACCAAGGAAGGGAGCGAGGCGAGCGTTATATGCTTTTATAGGTCCACGCCGAAGAACCGCAGGGTAAGTGAATAATATATGACAGGACGTACCAGAAAAGTCTAATATGTATATATGTATATTAAACACCCGTGCAGGCAATCATTAAAAACATCAAGGAGCACCTACTCAAGATCGCTACACACGAGCACGGTCACGTGTTTCTCATTTCTTTGCTAAACGCCTTGGACGACACAAAGGCCACCAAGAAAGCTATCTACGACTATTTGCACGGCGATCTTAAGACGCTGGTTAGCAATCCGTATGGTCGAAGAGTGATTCAATGGCTAGTGGCTCCTGGCGATACCGTATGCTTCCATCCGGATTTCATTCGCGTAGTGGACGAGGGCCTGGCATTTGGCAAAAAGGAGAAGGAGCTTCGACGCAAGGAGATCCTCGAGCAGATAGAGGCGCCGATTGCACAAGCCATCGTCGAAGATGCTGCTTTCTGGCTGTCCAATAGCAACATCGGCCTGGTCACCGCCGACATACTTAATCACAGTGAGTACCCAAATTAGATTTATACATATATATTTAGTTAGTTAAGAAATATTTAAAACAAAAAATTTAATTTAATCGTTCTGACTTTCAGTTCATGGCGAATCCTATGAAAAGGCGGCGAAAGCCCTCGCCCAAGTGGTCGCACAGCCGGAGTGGCGCATTTCAGTAGATGCCGTCGATCCCCTATCGCAAAATAAGAAGAAGCCTCACAATGATGTGGAAGCCATTATAGCTGAGGCCACCAAAAAGCGTAGGAAACTTCTAAACGCCGAAAGCAGCAGCGATGATGAAGACCCAGATTCTGAAGAAGATGGCGAAAAGCAAAAAGAGGGGGATGATGATGATGCCGAACCCAAGCTAAAGAAAGCCAAAAAGGAGCCCAAAAAGACAGCGGCAAAGGAGGAGGCACCAGTGGCTCCACAGGTTTCTGGAATCGAGGATGCCGGCATGCACATTGTATTGAAGAAGATCATCAAAAACGATGGACAGCGTGACGCCACTCCTTTTTGCCAACAGCTCCTGCAAAGCTTTTCCACCGATGTGGTAAGTAGTTGAAATATGCCTAACTCTTCACCAAAATCATTTAATTCTGAGAAACAAGAATACATTTCCAAATTTTATCGAAGTTATTTATTTTTAGGACATGATAACATTACTTTTAGGAACGCACTCTATGTGTTAAATTGATCAGTGCCTCAGCATGGGATTTAATAAAATGTGTTTCTATTTAAGAATTTGTCGTAATTAATATCATATTATAAATAACTAGTTTCTAAGCTTCGGTCCCCATAGTAATCTTGTTCAATCCGATCCTAATTGTTTCTATGATTTCATTTCTTTCAGCTCACAGTCTGGCTGGGCGTGAACCGGGCGTGTTTCGTCCTGGTGAAGCTGGTGGAAGACTGTCCGGCGCTATTGGATGATTGCAAAAAGACCATCACGGAGAAGAGCATAAGCCAGGCACTCGTTAATCAGAAGACGCCCGGGGCCAAGATGCTGGCCACCAAACTAAACATTGGCAAATGAAAACCCATTTTAGCTTAGACAAAACCTAACATTTTAAAATACATAATTCTATATTGAAATAAATGTAAATTCTGTTTTATTTTTGTGAAGAGAGAGATGTGGGGTCGGTGATCGAGGAGTCCAGGTGTCTAGGCCTTGCGCAGGATAATGTGCAGGCCAGAATCGCTTTCGACGATAGGCGACATCTGGCCGATATGCAATTTGAAGGCGGCCTCTTCGAATGCCGGCTGCATTTGACCTATGATGAAAAGGTGCATTAACATTTTATGTTATATTTTTTGCAGGTATTCCACCGTTATAATTAGTTCGGTTTTTCACAGAAGAGATATGCAGATAAAGATTTTCAAGGAAACTGAGTTGACTTATTATACTGATAGTACAAAGTGAATTATGTTAGAAATCCAGGATCCAGGATAAATAGAATTTATGTTTATACAGAGATTCCCTTCATATCCTGAAGACTACAAGATAAAGGGCGGTAAGATTTGGCTATCCGGTAATCATAAGTGGTAATATAATTAATTTTTTAGGGCTATTTACAATACAAGATCCCGGTCAGAATATGCTTTATCGTACCTTTGCCGAACTTTCCAAGATCGCCGCCTCTTTTGGCGGAACTGCAGTCAGAATAAGCGCGGGCCAACTCGTCAAAGGTTGCCTCCTGTTGATTGATTTTGTTGCGATATACCTCCAGAAGCAGCTGGGCCTCCTCCTTTGTGCGCGTGATGTTAGCCTCGCGCCATGAGCTGGGACGCCGGCTGCCCTTGTGCTTTACCAGCAGATGTAGACATTGTACCTCATCGTTATCTCCTCCGTTTTTCTTGGCCGGCTCAGTGGGCTGATCCCACTGCGATTCCTTCGTATGCACATTTAGGTAATAGCTTAGTCCTGCAAAAAGGAATCATGTTTTAGCCGGCAACAAGATTTCGCGGATTTATGATTTTCGTGGAATTATAAGGGCTCCTGGAACTATACCTGTGGAGCGGCTGGTACGCTTCTCCCAGCCCTCTGGCAATTGCTCGGCGTCAGGCATTCTGGCGTTAAGTTATTTAAACAAATTCGCAGAACAGTTTTTAGAATTGTCAAACTATTGATGGCACTCCTACAGTAACGTTGAGGAAGATCCAGTTTGTGCTGTCGATGTTATGATATCTATCGATTAATATCGCCACCATATACCCACTGGCAATTTACTTCTGATCTATCTGTAAATCGATGGACAAATGTTAATTTTTTTCCTTCATTCTTTGCTGTCAATGGCTTAACAGCACTAGTTTTCAAATATACCATCCGGAAAATAAATACCATGAGTATTTAAGTTCGCGAAGTACGAGGTGTGTTCAAAAAGTAAGGTGACTTTTCAAATTTCGCGGGCAACATATTTTCGATTATCGATTTTTTTGTTTTGTTATATTGGTACACTCTTCCCTAACATCTGTACCAAGTTTCAATGGAACATAGAGGTGGAGAAACATCGATGTTCACGGACATCGATGTTTACGATGTTTTTGGCGAAAACATCGATGAAACATCGATGTTTTAAATAAAAAAAAATGTGCAGTTATTTTAATGTATTTGAACTTTATTTTAATTTGTAATGTTTAAAAATTAAAAGTCAAATTTTCAACAAAAAATATCCAATTTATTAATCACTTATTAAATAAAAACGAAAAGAAAAACAAATTAAAATAAAACTGTTCATGATATTCATGTTCTACTTCTTTGGTATATTGTCATATTCTTAGTTTGTAAATAATAACAAAAAAAAAACAAATTTTATATCAATGTTTCAATATATACATACATGATCCAAAGAAAATAATAGTTTTTTTGGATAATGTGATATTCCTACTATACTTACTATTCCGAACTCTACTATATATGTATATTTATACATATACATATACACATACACACATATACACATATACATATGTATCTGTGTATTTATTTACATCTTTGTTTTTGTATAAAAAGAGGAGCTTATCGACAACGGTCGATGATAGCCGCGTGCGACGTTCACTTATAAGTTGTCCAGCTTTACTGAAAACTCTTTCAGATTCGCACGAAGATGCCGGATCGCAGAAGTATTATTAAGCTAACGTTTTATAAGCGTAGCCATTAAATTAAGTTATATATGTACTTACAATTCGCCAATCAATCAATGTGCCTTAGAAAAGAAAAAACATCGATGTTCCTCCGGTAAACATCGATGTTGCCGATGTTTCGAAAACATCGATGTCATCGATGTTCGCATCGATGTTTCTCCACCTCTAATGGAACATCCTCTTTTGTTTGGTTGTGAGAGGCGTAAAGTTACAAGTTATTTTGCGAGCTCGGCGATTTTTTGCTATCGAAAAATATGGATCAAAGGATTTGCATCAAATTTTGTGTAAAAAATAAAATTAAGTGCTCTGAAACACTTGAAATGTTGACAGCGGCATACGGTGAAACTGTTCTGAGTAAAAAAAATGTGTACAAGTGGTACAAACTCTTCCAAGATGGCCGGGAAGATGCCAATGACCAGCCTCGCTCTGGACGCCCAAGCACGTCAACAACTGATGAAAACGTTCAAGCAGTGACGAAAATTGTTTTGGAAAATCTGAAAACTGAAGAGACCTATGAAAGGACGGAGATTTGCAACGATTAAAGAGATAAAGACTGCATCGCTGCAAGAGCTCAAGGCTATACCGAAAAGTGCTTATGGGAAGTGCTTTGAGGATTGGAAAAACCGTTGGCATAAGTGTATTGTATCTGAGGGGGATTACTTTGAAGGGGACAACATAAATATTGATAAATAAATTAATAGTTTTTCTTGAAAATACAAAGTCACCTTACTTTTTGAACACACCTCGTATAAGAGTTTAGCTAAGAATGGTGGGTGTATTTGGTAAGCGCGGAGAATGAACTCGCTAAATGAATATACACACTTACGTTCAAAAATTGGGAATGCTTAGAAAAATATATTTTTTTTATTCTATGTTAACTTTTAATAAATGTTCTATTTTGGTACCCCACATTTTTCAAAATAGTATTAGAAGTATCTGCATTAAATGTGGTGATTGTATTTCAGCTATGAATACTGAAATACTTCGGTATTGTAGCAGTTGATGATATTTATAATAATGAATTTTAAGGCTTAAACATATTTTAAAATATTTGATAGTTCGTGATGACATTTTTAAAAATTTAAGTTTACATGGCAAATTAAAAGTATGCCGATTTTTATATCTTGGATAATGACTTTTTATATTTATTCCATTCCAATACATTCTTCAACCTGAAACAAATACGAAGTGCAATTTTTCTAAATGTTTATTCAGGGGATTAATAAAAATAAAATAAATACGTGGCATTTGTACAATTAGTTTTAGTTCTTTCGATTTTATTACAGGCTAGCTTTAAGTAGGTTAACATTTTAAAAGGACTAGCACAAGGAGTAATAGTAATCCTCTCAGCTCAGCGTATATAAATATTGCGTATTTGTAGGCATAATAATATATATATTTGCATTATATATATTTATAAGGTTTTCTCGTAAAGAGTGGGCGAATACTTGGCGTTGTTGGAGTTGTTAGCTAATTAGTTAGGGGCGGGAGCAAGTGAGCTATTAAAAAAATTTAAATTAATTATATAAAACAATTAAATACATTTTATAAAAGTACAAACATGTTCTTGTTGCGATCTGATAGGTATTTTGTTTTTCTGTTCGTTATGTTTCTTCGTCGGTACGGTTTTGCTTTGTCATGTGTTGTGGGGCAGTTGCTCTGTCACGGCAGCTGCCCAACCCCAATCCCCGAGAGCCCCCTTCCGGATGTCTAACTAAATTATTGATCAACTTATCAATCAATTTACTCCTCGAATGGACTTCTCAAACTCGTTAAAATTAAGTTAACACCTCTGAGGTGTTCTATTCATTTTATAAAACTAAAAAAACATCTTAAAGGCGCTTCTATAACTTCACATTTATAAATGCACACCCTGAAGGTAATTCTTCCATTATGGTAAAAAATTTCAATGCTCACACTAAAGACGCTCATTAGATTTTATAAAAATAAATTACGGCCTTAAAGGCTCTCTTTTACGTTACAAAAATTAAACGTACACCTTGAGGTCGACCCTTTCAATTTAAAAACTAACTTTACCCCCGAGTGCTGTGCATAAATTGAGAAAATTAAAAAAAAAAACTCCTAAAGATGTTCATTCAGTTGCCTAAAATTATAAATACACCTTGAAAGCGCTCCAGCCGTGGAAACACTTAGTAAACCGGCGCGACTCCTTGTTTTTCATCGTCAAGAAAAGCTTTCTTGGCCTCTCCGGCTGTTTGATTCGCATATGCTGGATGTACACCTGGGCAGACTTGTAAGCCAGCTTAACCTCCACCTCACTGCAACGCGGGCCCATCCACAGGAAGACGTGCTCCCCGTTGTCGAGGATCATGATGTCGTCGTCGGCCAGATCGTCCTGGCAGAAGTCAGCGCATTTCTCGGCAACCGTGTAGTAGCCTCGCTCGTTGGAACACCTGAACAGCCGAGTGTAATCCATGTACTCTGCGTCTGTATCGTAAGGCTTGCGGCCACCCAGCGCTACCCAGAAGAAGTTCTCCGGCTCGTCACCCTCGTTGAGAATCTGTTAATAATTGTTTGGTTAGAGGTAAACAAGATTTAGATCGGAGGATTATATGAATATAGGGTAATGAACATAAATAAAATAAATAAATCATTTGCTCTATACTTATTAAAAAAATTATAAAAATCGTCTCTTTTAATAAAATATCTTAATCTATGTAGGTTATATATATTATACATACAAATTATTCTGATTGATATTCTTCACTTACTTGAAGGCTCACCCAGGGTGAGTTAAACATTTGCTCAGCTATATCCTGGACCAGCTTGGCCTCCTCGTTGCAAGATTTGCTACCTATCCAGACGTATACAATCCCCGACTGCGAATCGTCCTCCGTTTCAAATGGCACATGGAGTATATAGCTGAAATGATTTAACAAAATAAAATATTTAGTAAAGTCAATGAATTGGCTCAAGTTGTTTTTTGAAAGAAGATTCAACTTTGTTTATCTCTTAGCAATAATACAGGGACATATCACCTAAGCTTTTAGGAATGTTAGTCTTTAACATTGATAAGACAAGAAAATGGGTCCCATGAAAAAGGTGCTAAAAGGTGTCATACATAAAAAAAAACACTTGCTTTGACCATGATTTTACAATAAGGGTGCAAATCAGAAAACTGTACTTACCAGAAGGCCGAATTGAGATGCACTGCATCTGGGTTGATTTGGATAAGTCTCGTGGTCAATGCGCCGCCGTTCGATCGCAGGTGGAAGAACTCAACTGGTGACTTGCCCTTCGCAGTGAGGGCCTTGTCCTTCCGCTTACCGGTGTGTATGATGAATTTCCGCTTGAAGTGCGACATGAACTTAAGGTTTTCTTGCTGCTGAAAGATCCGCACGACCTCCAGTTCCTCGCCGAACATCGCCTTGAATTTCTTCTGCAGCGTAAAGGTAAACGTGAGCCATCCCATATTGCCTGCATTGCGTCCCTGCCAAAAGTAAACGACGCACTGGATCTCGTCCTCTGGCTGATTGTTGGCGCTAGATTTACTGTCATCTGCGACTGGGTTAGCACCATCTTCGGGGCCATTTTCAGGCTCCTCAATGGGTATGCAATAGCGACAGAGAAACACGTAACATTCGCCGGTATAAAAGCGACCCAGTTCCTCCTCAGGCAGCCGAACAAACTTCTTGTTCTCCAACACAAAGGCTTCCATCATCTCCAGATCGTAGTTCCACTCCTCCTCCAGCTGCTCCGCTTCTGCCAGGGGCATGGCCGATTGCCTGGGCATGAATAGCGCGGCAAGATCCGTACGCGTCTCCTGCTGTCGGGCCCATTGAGTGAGGTTGGCCCCTGTCTTAGCCACAGACTTGGCTGTCCTTGTAAAGTCCACGGCCATTACCTCATCCCAGCCAGCGAATTTGGTTCGGAAGATCTGCATTTCATTTCCCTCGGGCACACGCATTACCAGGGCATATTCTGGCCGATCCATCATGTTAAAGAGCTCCCGGCTCAACTTGACAGCTGCCGCTCGGACCAATCTCGTGGACTTCTTGCCAAACCAAACGAACAGATCAGTATAGCAGTCGAGTATGTAAACGTGCTTGCTATTTAGTAAGGTGTGGCAAAGTTTTTGCTCAGGTAATTCCACTTGCGGCAGCTCCAGATAACCCATTCCCAGTTGCACCTGGTAGAGGCGAGGCTGTACCGGCTGATAGTCTTCTGGAACGTGCTCCTTTGGTGGCTCTGCGGCAGCTCCTTCCTCCGGGGTCATATCCAATCCTTGCCAGAACTCAGAACTCTCTTCTCCTTGCCGCTCTAATTGGATTTCACACTTGTTTTTTCGTTCCGTTTTGCTAATTTTCTCAGCCATTAATCTGGCTTTGGAGTTAAGCGTATTCTTCGATCTTTCGCCCAACCAAATGTATATGTGGGTACCCAAATCAAGGACAAAGGCATGGCGGGGATCCAGAGAGGTAACAGCAGGAGCCACAGGTTCCAGGTGAATAGTGGCACCATACGCGTGCACTAAATACAATCTTGTGATATGTATCATTTCTTCTATAGTATAGAAACCAGTAGCTGTGCGACCGCCCTCGATGTAAATGACTTCAGTTTCGAATAAAGCCAGAAACTCTTCGGATTCATCGCCCTGCTCCTCGCGAACCGTACGACACCGGGCTCCAAGAAAGTTCCTCAGGTTCACTGCATGAATGGCAGCACAAGCTCGTTTGTCAAGGGTGGCCTCGTTGCCGATCCAGAAGTATATCTCCCAATCGAGAAGACCCAGGTCATCGAACTTTGTCTTGAGGACTATATAGCAATCACCCTCGTAGAACTTACCATGCACAACCTCCTCTATTTTGTTGGGCAGGAAGTTCTCGATCTCCCAGATGGTTAGCCCCGGTAGCTGGCCATCGTCCTTCTCGAAAAATTTGGAGTAGTCTAGTTGCGGCTTCTCTAACGACTCGTCCCACCTTTTCGGTTTCAGGGACTCCGGTTTTCCGTCCTCGGGCAGAGCACCCATCTCGTTATCCTTATCCTTGGCGACATCCTTCATGCCCTTGAGCACCTTGGCAGCATCCTGATCTCCTTCGCTGCGAGGACCGCGCCGGAGGCGGATCTTCCTTGCGGTTGAGTCTTTGGGAGTGGCCGAAGATGGCATTGAAGGCGGCACAGCAGCTCCAGCTAACCTTAGCTGGGTTTGTAAACTAAAATCTATGTTGTAGAACTCCAGACTGGTGGCTTTACTCGCTTCACTTGGCTTGGGTGGCATTACTAACTCTGGATTGTTTCGCAAGTCTAACTGATCTAGACCCTCTAGCAGGTGAATGGCATCGGGCAGGGTTATCAGCCGATTACAGCTCAGATTTAGTTGTTTTAAAGCACCGCATCGGCACAGTCCCTCGGGCACCATTTCCAACAGGTTGTTGGCCGCCGAAAAAACCTCCAGAGCACCTAGCTTGCCAATGCCTGAGGGAATACCCTCAAAATTCAGCTTATTATCGTTCACTAGCAATCGTCGCAGCTTTGGCAGTTTGCAGAGAGCAGCGGGCAGAGCTATGAGTTGATTCCGTGATAGATTCAGTGACTCCAAACGCTGCCAAAGCTCCACGCCTGCGTTCAGTTCGCTGAGCTCGTTGTCGCTCAGATTCAGCCGCACTAGGGTGATTACATTGTAGACACAGTCCGGCAGTTTGGGCAGCGAATTGTGCGATAAGTCCAGCTCGCAGAGATTGGCCAAACTGTCCAGGCTGGTGGGGAAGTTAAGAAGCGTACGCTGCGTTCCGCTCATTTTGAGTACCTCCAAACTTTGAAGCGAAGGTAACTGGCGCAATTGGAAAAGCTCTAGTGGATTGTGCGATAGGTCGAGGGTCTTCAGATTGATAAGACGACGCGTCTGCGGCGGCAAGGTCTCCAGTCGGTTGTGCGACAGATCGAGAAACAGCAGATCCGTGAGATGGATGAACAGAGGCGTGGGTATGCTCTCGATCTGATTGTTGCTCAGGTTGAGCACAATAAGGTTCTTTGCTCGCTCCAAGCCTTCGGGAACCTCTTTCAGTTTGTTGTGCGACAGGTCAAGAGTGGTCAGCTCCTCCAGATGAAAAAGTTCCGGGGGTATGCCACTGTTCTTTAGGTGATTGTGCCGCAAATCGAGGGAACGCAGACAGGTAAGTTCCGTGAGCTCGCCGAAGATCTTTTCCAGACGATTGTGATTCAGTGACAGGTGCTCCAGCTTTTGTAGATGGCCGAGCTCCTCTGGAATCTCCGCGAGCTGCGTACGATCCAGTGTAAGCCACTGCACCCGCGACATCTGCCGCATGGAGCTGGGGAATGTTGCCTGCAATAGAATCGATCATGATTCAGGATTATCTCTGCTCCGGACTTATGACTAATGCTCAGGTTTTCGTGTGTGTGCTATTCGGTGACCTGTTTCTTTGCTTCTTTTTTTTTTAGAACCCAAACCCTCTCCCAAAAACAACAACAGTGCAGGCCGAATTTGTTTGTTTTACTCACGCTGAAATCATTTTTTGTAAAGTCCACACCGCGCACGAACGGCAGCACGCTCATTTTGACCACATAAAATGTTATATTTGTTATATATTTGGGCTCAAGCTGCTGGCCCTGTTTTTCGAGTCTTCTTCTTTATTTTGTTTTTTTTGCACTACAAAAAAAAGAAGAGTAGCTGGTGACCGTCCGTCGCCAGCCCATGCAAACGTATTGACTTGTGGTCGGCTCTCTGTATACAGTTCGCTGAGATGGTCTCTCTAAATATTTAATGGCGCGTTAGCCAACACTGGAGTGTTAAAAATCACAGAACGCACACTCGGGCCACATTCTATAGTTCTGGTAGAATCCTATTCTAAGGGCTTCAAAAGGGAAATGGGCGTCATCCCTTTTTATTAATTTTTAAAAATAACAAATTTACAAAAGGCTTTGAAATGTAGAATTTCCTTTTTAAATGATAGTTTTCCATAGTTACTAATCGTTTCGCCGGTACTGTATAAAATCAGCGTACTAATCTAGTGTGCCCACATATGGCTCACTATAGAAAAGATTTTTTAAATAATTGTGAATTCCCGAAGCTAAGTCAAAATAACTGAAAATTCTGCAGCTCTTAATTATATTTCTAGTAGGGAAGACGAATGTTAGTTTTTCCGAGTCTCATTCAATACTGATGAAGAATTTAAAACATATGTTATTGTATTCTATTCTAATTAGTTCAAAAAAGGAATGCAATACATTTAAAATTCAAATTTAGTGAATTTGAATTTAAATCTAATGGAATATAGATTATTTATTTTTTTTGGCTTTGATATTAATAAGTATATTTTAGTCATTTTCTTAAAACCTTTCTTAAATCTTTAAATGCGGTCACACTGGTAGGGGTTCGGGTTTTTCGAAGGGTCCTTTTCGTCCTGCGAAAAAACAGCAACATCGTAAGCATAATCTAGAGGGTGTGACCAAATTGAACGACACGAAATTTTCATACTTTGCCCAGTCTTCGGAATGTGAAGGTCCTTGCTAGTGTGTTGTGTTGCCTTTTTCTCCGAAATTGCAAAAACAAAAAATCAAATCAAGCTCTTAAAAAACATTAAAACCTTATTGCATTTAAAGGGAGACGAAAGAGCAAGATTAACAAAAAAGTAATCGAATTCATGCCAAAAGTTCGTTTACTAAAAGGAAGTGCAGCAAAAAGTAATAATTTCGAATTTTGCCGAGTGACTGCTAGGCTTTGTTTGTTGTGGAAAATTGTGTACCCCCGAAAAAAAGGGAGTGTTTTTATTTTGCGTTCGTCACTTATTTGAATGTCAAATAATTGGCAAATTAAATTTATTCCGTTATTTTATGTGCGTGTGTTATTGTTGCATTTGGCTTTGTGCAGCAAACGCATTTTGCAGTTCGTGTGTGTCTGTGTGGATGATAAAGAAGACATAAGAAAGGGGAAGGGGAAGGGGCAGCGGAAAGTGGGCGCAGCAATTACGAGAGAACTGCCAAAGGAATAAGGATAAGGAAGAGGAAGCAAAAGCAGAGCGAACTTTTAATCAATAGATATACAAACGCACGCGCAGCCGCGTTACCGTTACTCGCACACTCGCACTCGACTCTTTGCCTTGTCTTGTTGTTGTTGCACTGGACGAAGCAGGAAGAGGAAGACAAGTGAACAAAATTGCTATTGCGCTGGGCAGCATCGTTCGTTCTCAATCCGAAATCAAGTAAAATTAATTTTTATAAACGGAAGTTACAAACCCCAATGTCCGCGTTGTTAATTATCTTAACGGAAAAGCTAAATGCAAATGCATTAACCGGCAGTGTCTCGAGTTTATTTTTTTAATTAAAAAGTGCCCGCAAGTGTGGGGGCAACCTACTTATTGAGCAATTAAGGCCATGCCCACGCATGCACGCCCACATATGTACGTATGTGTGTGTACATGCAGGAGCCGTTATTTCAAGTATGCCAGAAAATGGGGTTAGAATCGCTATTGCAGATCCTTATAGAGCAGGAAGAAGACAGTAACTTTTGCATATTTCAACGAGTTCCATAAATTATCACTTATTTACATATGTACATATATATGTGCATATTTCGTCAATGAATTCAAGGGTGAAAATTTTTATTTCCCTTTTTGGAATTTATTTTTGCAACATTAACAATGCATATGTATGTTTGTATTGTATGTATACAGTTTAACATCAAACCCGTTTCTATAGTTAGTGTGTAAATATGCATTAATGCATATGTATGTATGTTTCCAAAACGCAAGTTCATTTATCTTTTATATATAACTCATATTTCCTACGCAAAACGTATTTCGAGTATTTTATTCGTGTTCAAGATAACTTTTCTCAAAACTATAAATCTGATACATACATACATATGTATGTTTGTATGTTCACTCGTGATTATGATCAACGATTAGCTCGATAGCCAGTGCACTGCCCTATCAATGTCCGTTTGAATTAACGTCAATATCTCGGACGTTTAAGGAGGCAAAAGATTGCGAGGAACTTACATATGTAATTGCAAAACATTGCCACGCCCACTTTTGCGCCCATGATTTTGGGTTGCTAGAATACGATTTTTGTCTTCTATAAATGTGTATTAAGAATATCCATTGGTTTATCAATGCATATATATGTTACTCCTGCGTGTATGCAACACTTTCTCTCATTAGTAACACAATGAGACATCCTTTCGTAATAATGACTCCTTTGGTGTTTGAAAGAATAATATCAACGTACATCTCGTGGCCAACATGTTTTACATCGTCTTTCAGTAAAAATAAACCTTAAGCCACAAACTATTAAGCGTTAAAACAACGATTGATTAGACCCTACAACCAGATTGAAATAGAAAATTAAAAAAGATAACCAAACTTATTGATTAATATTCTAATCAACTGAGACCGCTTTTAAAGGTCAAATCCTTATCTTTAGGTTATATACATATTTGATTATACGTGTTTTGGAAATGACCAATAGCATTAACTGCAATCAGATTACTTTGAATTGTGGAGACTTTAAGGTAGCGAGTTAAAGTGTAAGCAAATACTGTGCCTCAGGAACATATAAACTAATTAAGAAGCCAACACTTTCGGTCACTTAATATCCTTTTCTCCTCTGTTATCTTCACCCTTTCGCCATTTTTCCAGTGCTCGGCAATTTGGATTCGGTGTCAAGAGGTTAGGAAACTCAGGCCCGTGAGCACGTATCAGGACAACCCAGCAGTCACGAGGGAAAGGGAAACCGCCAGGAGCAACAAAGAACAGGAAGAGCAGGCACACATTCCAATTTTATAAGGGGAAAAGACGAAGAAAGCAGGCCAGGATGGGCGACTATCACGAATTCACGGACCAATACAAGGTTCCGGTGATAGCGAAGCTACTCCACGCCCTGCCCCACTACAACATCACGTTCCACAAGATCAACAGCACGTTCCGGCCCAATGATGAGATATACTTGGAGGTGAGTAAACTTTATCCGAGCATTCGGATTAGATCTGTGGAGTACGGAAAATATATTTTATGCATAATAATAAACTGTTTGGTGTTAATCTCTTTATCAAATTTAAATTACTCCAAATCCAAATTACTCATTATAATAATGATTAATAGCATACATTTTTAATAGCAAATCAGAGTATCAGTTTAGTATTATATTATATTAAATCAAAATGAAACATTGATGAAAGCATATTTCAAAAATTTTCAAGTAAGCAAACCTTAAGCTTAAGGTTTCTAATATTTCTCGTCATCTTCAATTCCCTTGTTTGTACTTATAGAGTCTGGGAATTTTGGGCTCGGTTCCGGCTGCCCTGCTGATCGTATCGCTGCTGGGATTGCTCTTCTATTTGATGACCCGCTGCTGTGACCGGAAACCCCGGCCAGCGCACTCGATCACCAGTCTAAAGGTGGCACTGTCCATCGTTACGGTCATGTGCTGTGCAGCGATTGGATTAGGATTGTATGGCAACGATGATCTGCACAACGGACTGCTGGAGGTACTGACGGCGGGCAGAAAAGTGGACAACTTGGTCACGACCATCCGAAATCAGACGCACATCCTGGAGAACACGCTGACGAATCGCATACGGCCACAACTTGTGGAACTGGCGGACATCTTTGATCAGCCAGTGTCGAATCAAACCGCCCTTTCGAAGCTCTTCGTATCACTCAACATCGTCCAGGGAAATGTTACCCTTGCCACAAACGCGGCCAGCGATATCCGACGGCCTCTGATGGGCATCTCAATGACGCATTTTTTGACGGTAGGCTTACTTTATATAGCTGAATTTTTAGATATGTCTAAATACATACCCATTTGTAACCTTAGCGCGGCGACCAATGGGAACTGATCCGATGGCCGGGCACGGTGGCCACGTTGGCCTTGCTCCTTGTCCTGTGTGCCGTGCTGCTGGTGGGCGTGGCTCGGCACTCACGCTGCGCTCTGATCCTCTTTAGCGTCTGCGGCTTGTTGGCCGTTACCGGTTCCTGGCTGATGTCCGGTCTTTATCTCTCCTCCTCGGTAGCTGTCGGCGACCTGTGCATCTCGCCAGCGGATTTCTTAGTGTCCACGGCACCCAGGGACCTGCCCACCAATGTCCTGCTGCACTACACCCAATGCGAACCGGGCCACACGAATCCATTCACCCAGCGCCTGAGGGAATCACAGAATTCCTTGAACAATGCTCGCAGTGCCATGGCCACGGTGATGAAGATATCGCTGGTGCTCTTCAAATCCTCGGGCTTGCAACCGAAACTAGGTGCTGTTAATGCGGATTTAAATAGTAGTGAGAGACTACTGACCCAACTGACGGCTCTTGTGGATTGCAAGGCAGTGCATCATAATTTTCTGGCCGCCGCTCGGGGACTTTGCGAGGGAGGATTACTGGGACTAGTCCTGATGCTGATAGCCAGCTTTATAGCCGCCATTTTGCTAACCATTATGGTTTGGGTGGACTCGCACACGTGGATTTATATACGGAAACGCAATGACTATGCCCAGGTTGATGAACCTTCGTATATTTCGCATCCGGCACCGCAGAATCACCAGCAGATGATGAATGCTGCCAGGACATTGCCGAGAAATCACAATGGGTATGTTTTAGAAGATCCCATCGTGACCCGTCCCGCCCGATTCCCGCCTCCATTCTCTCGATATTTCTCTCTCTGTTCTCTCTCGTCCCGTTTTCTCTGTTCTTGCGCCATATCTGACATTCCAGACACTTCAGTCCACCGGTGATCAGCGGCTCCCATACGCTCCAGCATCCAAGCAAGCGACAGCAGCACGAGATGATGGCCCACGCCCACATTCAGCAGAACATGCGCGCCATGGGCACTCACACACTGGGCCGGTTACCGTCGCACAACCACAGCCCCACCCACATGACCGGTAAGTGGGGTGCCCGCACCACCCACTCCCAAAACTCGAAACACCCGCCCACTTCTCTATCTTACTGTGCACTGAGAGAAAAATAGTCGACAACGCGAACGTTTATAGATACTTTACTTTACCTTCTAATTTATTAAATTTGTATATGTGTCATATTTCTCTCAGTGCATGCGTATTTACAAATCTTTTACAATCTCTGTATCCACCATATGTGTATAAAACCAAAAGACCAAATTGAGCTGGAAATTTAGAAGGAATATCGTGCTGAATTTAGTGAAAACCAACATAGCTTCTTGTTAGAAAGTCAAAATATATATAAAAGCATAACCGATAGATAACCGTTTCGTAACCGGTTCAGCTATTCCACTCAATTCGATCTCATCATGTACGATTCTTCTATATAATCTCATTCCATGGTAATTGCCCACGCCCATCCATCCACCCACACCATAACAACACCATCGTTACGTCGACAACCTGCATCCGCACCCGCATCCGCATCGGCATCCGCATCCAACTCCACATCCTTCGTCCAACCCGCGCCTATTGCTAATTGTTGTGTGTGTGCATTTTTGTAGGTCCCAATAATGGTAAATATGCAACCCTAAGCAAACAATGCAAGACATTGGAAGCGAATGACTTTTACTGAAAACCGTCGCCACCCCCCGCAGCAGCAGCAGTCGCAGCAGCAGCAAACGCCGCCGCCAATATGCCGCCGACCACGCAGGCCACCCAACAGCAGCAGCAGGCGCAGCAGCAACAACAGCAGGCACAGCAACAATTGGGAGGACCACAGCCAATCTATTGCCATCATCCACATCAGCATCCGCATCCCCATCCGCATCCGCATCAGCATCCGCATTCTCATTCAGCCGCCGCCGTGGCCGCTGCAGTGCAGCACCAGCATGCGATCTACCATCAGCAGCAGGCGCAGCAATATGGCACCTATACTACAGCGGCCCACCATGCGCCTCATCATCTGGGGCCTGGCCAGAGCCAAATTTATCAACAGATTCCAGCCCATTTGGCGCCCCAACTTGCGGCCAATGGAAATCCACATTCCATATATCAGCCGCTAGTTGCTGTTAGCCAAGGCTCCATATATGTATCCAATTTGGCCACGATGCGGAGGCAGAATAGCCAGGGCGGTCCACAGATACCGGCGCATCAGCATCCACCCAGCTTGCATCAGCAGCAGCAGCAACCGCCGCCGCCTTCTCAGCAGCAGCAGCAGTTGCATCAGCTTAAATCACCGCAGCAGCATCAGCAACAGTTGCAGCAGCAGCACCAGCAACAACAACATCACCAGCAGCAGCAACAGCAGCAACATCAGCAACATCACCAGCAGCAGCAACAGCAAAACGAATCGGATGTCGTTCCCATTAGCACAGCCATGGATAGCGCCATCTACGATCGGGATAAGCAGATCTACAAGTGTTCCACTTTGCGGCAGGGCGGCAAGTTCGATCCCAAGTACAAGCCATCGATACTCAATTGCCCGCTGCCGGAGATCCCCAAGGATGCGGAACAGCCAAAGGTGGAGTCCATCTACGAGCAGCGCCAGCAGGCCCACCACCAAAACTACTCCAAGTAGGTGTTGGGATAGTAGATATCACGTTTCCTTGAGCACACTGACTATAAATATTGCTATAAGCAATATTTAATTATATTAACTATCAAATTTTATAGAGTATAAAAAATAACTTTTGAAAACCGACAATAACACCAAAGACATAATCTCTTTTTATACTTTAACAGATATACAGATTTCATTTTGTAGCCATAAACTAATGGTTTATGTTTTTTAAAAACAAATTGCATTTGTATCTTATTTTGTTTTTTTGTTGATAATATTTTAGTTCAAAATTGTATGCCTAAGGATGAAATTAAGTTTAATAATTAGTAGTACTATTATTTTATTATTTTTATTTTATTGAATGCAATAATTGGAAAATATTGTAAATACATTTCTTAATATTTCTATTAGTTTTTATTTATATATCTAGTGACTAATTCATCAGAAGTAATAAAATAGAAGCAATTATTTTGAACAAATTTACTGTTAAGTTGGAAAATTCGTCTATTTATTTTCACTATTCAGCTGCAAGCATTAAAGATGTAGCAAGTTCTTTATGATAGCTTTTCTTGATTTTCCCGCCTTCGTTTAGGACCCTGCAGCGTCCGCCGATGAAATTGCCACCGCAGATGAAGGCGATCCCGCCGCCGCGCATAGGCACGCCCACCTCGCCGCCGCCGCCCGTCGCCCAGCCGCTGAGTGAGGCCAATGGAGGAGTGCCATCTGGCCTCCAGAACGGAGGAGGAGGAGGAAACACAAACGAGGACACCTCACTGCCGCCGCCACCGCTGGAGGCGCAAACAGATGCGACAAAGGGCCGAATGGGACCAGGATCGGCCGCCAATGGCAAGGTCCTGCACAATGGCGGAGGCGGTGGTGGCGTGACCGGAGGTGGCGGAGGTGCTGTTGACGATGATGATGATCTGCCACCGCCACCGCCAGCGATAACCGATGAAAGCAACTATGCGGTGACGGAGCTATAAGATGGACATGGCTAAGATCACAAAAACCAGAAGAGTCAGTCAGAGCAAGATATGTATAAGACAGGAATTGGTCAGGACTTGGGATTGGGGGCGTCTTCCTAGAATTCGGATGTAGGATAGATATATATCGAGGGAAACGGGGAAATGGGACTAAGGATTGCTGCAGCGGCGAGTGTTCCTTCTTAATTTGTTGCATTTAACGTATCGTATCGTAATCGTATCCTAGACCGGAATCCTGCTTTTCGACTTTTGTACATATTATACACTGAACTATATCCGAGCATTCAACAGAAAAGGATATTAAGGATATAACAAACACATACACACAGATACTAGACACGCACAGACAGGCAGACAGACAGACAGACAAACGGACATATGTAACATATATCAGCGATCTATTACTTATATAAATATATATATAATCCATTTAGGACACGGTTATTCCTTTTTGATAATAGCATATTTTTACCAATTTTAAAGCGCTAAATTGTCAAAAAGAAACAATTTTACGGGGGCTAACTTATTGTATTATACAACATTATTCTCTATAAATATATATAAATTGTATATCCTCTACACCCAAAAAAAAAAAAAAAAACAACAAAATCGGAAATGAGAAACCATACTGGAAACGAAAGACCGACACTTGAACCTAAAAACCAACCACCAAATATTCAAATCGAATTCGGATCGTAGGCCATAAGTTCTAGAATCGAATTGTAGTTGAAGCGTTAGAAAAGATTTTTTAGGCGTTTGTCGGGAGTCAATTTTTAAGTAGACAACGGACAACTGAATGGATGGGCAAAGGGGCGTGTCTGGTTCTTATTTTTTTTTTATCTATTTATTCTTTTTGGTATTCTAAATACGTTTTTAAAATCTTGATTTTTTCTAGAAAGTCATTAATCTTTCTTAATTTCAATTTCCCTTCAATTTCTACAATAGTTAAATATATATATATATGTGATATATTCTGAAATTTAGTCATTCAAATTTCATTTTGATCATCCAAAAATCACATTCTAAGGCCTAAGTTCCTGACTGATTGATTGCATTTATACCTACTCCTAAAATAAATGCTTGCACAAGCGAATGATAGTGGCGGAATAGAGCCATTCCTTATTTTATGTTGTAAGAAAATCGAACCGATATGACCTCGAGTATGCCAAACTAATATTAGTTAATGGAGAATTATTTAAGCACCCCAAAGACACGTACTGCTATTGTTAAGACCCCGAAACGAATCACTGCCCCCCGAGCCCCAACCATTCAGGTGGATCCCCCGTTTAGTGCTCGACTCTGTCCTGGGTCTGGGTTGTGCTGCGGACGATCTCCCCTCACATGGGATCGGATCGTCCTGGACTGGCGGGCTAAATCGATCGAGGATTTGAGCCTGCGATTTTATTGTGTATCTAACCTAAGCTTAACATGGAATGCATTTATTAAACCTAAATATAAACAAATATATATGTAGATATTTAGTGGGCTAACTGTATATTTAGTAGCTAAACGAAAGGCATATATAGTAATAGCGTAAACAATAACCATATAGATGAGAGATGAACATTCGACTTGTCATGGAACCGATAGCAATATAAAACTAACACGAAGTACTGCCACCCCTACCCCTCTTCCCCCCCCACACACACACACACATCCAATGAAAACAAAGAAGAGAAAGCAAACCGACAAACCGGACTACAAAGTTATATAGATATATACAAAAGCAAGCGATATATACACAAATAGATATTATAAAAAATAGTTATAGACAAGATACTTAAGCCTATCGACAACTATATACCAGCAACACACAGCAAGAATAATCGAAGCATTTTTAGAGGGATTCCCGGAGGCCAACTTGAAATGGATGAGGCCAATGAACTAAATCGAGCCCCGAACACTGCCCACACAGCGAAAGTTTTCAGCATTAGCCGATCGACTGATCAGTGATCATTGATCTAGCCACAATATACACTTAACGAACCTAACTAGAGCGTACTCTCATTGAAATAATCAATTGTAAGATAATAACAATCGGGTACTCGAATCGAAAAAAACTCAATCGTAAACCACAAGCGACATTTTTAAAGTAAATATGTAAAGATGGTGTAAAGAAAAACGGAACAAACTAATCAAGTTTTTTATTCGCTTATTATACAACAATTACCAGTTAAAAAAAAAAAAAAACAAACAAACAAAAAATAATAAAAATTAACCTTCTCAAGGGTTCACACAAAATATTACAAAACGAAACTGAAATGGATCCTTTAAGGATTCCAAGAACCCATTGACAGTACCAAATAATGGATTGGAAAACACCGAAGAACCCCTTGAGAAGCGAAGGTTTGGTCTTGGAGTTTCGAGCCCAGATCGAAGCCCCATTTACACGTACATATAAATATAACACAATTAGTTCGTAAATATATTTCTGTGTTAAATGTTGTCATCGTACGCGTTGTAGTTATTACAAAAGGAAATCCCTAAGAAAACCCCAAGTAGAGCCGAACTCGAAAAACAGAAACGCAGAGATGGGCGGCTACAAGAAACTCAAAACGAAATTCGTAAATTTTTTTCGAAAGCTTTACGGCAGCAGCAATAAAGCAAGATAAGATCAAGTTGCATAACATATATATATCTATATATATATCTATATATATATGCATATATATATAAATATATAGTATACATAGTTAAAAAAATGTAAAGAACAGAGGCATAAATCGAAGCGCTTAGTGGCATATTAATAAACGAGTAACGAGTAAAAATAAAAACCAAAAAAGACAAAAAGTAATTCTAATAAATCGTAAAAACAGTTTAAAAATTCTTGTAAGAAATACGAAATACAAATAAGTGAGTTCCAGAAAACACTTTTACCCCGTTACATATTTCGGAAATGTTCCGAAAAGCGGGGAAAACAAAATTTCTGGAATGGAAAAATATTTTATGCGCAAAATCGAAATGAATCGGGTAACGGAAAAACGATATTCCCGCAAAATAAAGTGGAATTTCATTCAAAAGCAAAAAGCGGCAAGTAAAACGCTAAAAAAATCCAACAAAAATATTAAATAAAAATATAAAATTTAATTGCATTAGTTAGATGGAGAAAAGTTGTTTTTTAATGGGAGCCAATGAAATAAAAGTACTCAAGGTAGGTTTGATTCAAATCGCCAAAAAATTAGTGGTTTGTCCACTTATAAAAACACATGATCTCTCTCTCTCTCTTTCTTTTTCTAAATTATTTCACATTTTATTTTGTATGTTTTCTTTTCGTTTATCATATTTTGTGCAGATTTCGTTTTTTCCTATAGCAGCAATTTGTATAATAAATATTTTTTCGTCATTTAATTATATACTTTCTGGTTTTTTTGTTTTTCTTTTAATTTCTTTAGTTTGCTGTCTTAAATAATAAGAATAGAGCCATTTATTGCTGCGCACAATTGAAATTTGAACAATTGTCTATATATTATCTCTCAAAGGTACTTGCATCTGAATAATAATTACAAATAGAGATAAGAAGTATAATATTACAAAAAAATAAAAGCGAAAAGAGGACAGAGTTCCGCGACTTTTCTTCTGATCATAAACAACAACAATGATGGAAATAAAATATAAGATAAAATAATATAATATATATAATAGAGATATATAAAAGATCATAGGAATAGCAATATATATATATATATATTTATATATATACATATATATATATATATAAACATAAAGCAATTAAATTGGGTTTTGTGTTTTCATCATTTCGGGCAAAAATCATCTTTGGAATTGTTTTCGTTTCTTTTTTTAAGTAGGGGAATTTGAAAATAAGCCTTAAATATGTACGTGGTATTCTGTTCTGTTTTTGTCTACGTGTTTTTGTTTAAGCCTTGTTTGATATTGCTGCTTCTAAGGCCTCTCCCACTTTGAAATCCATTTTGCTGGCTCTGCCTTGATCTAAATGTTATTTTCTTCCTTCTGCATCCTTCCTTCTGCATCGTAGGTATTTTGAATTAATATACTTTGTTAATTATTGTTAATTGCACTGTTGGCGGCCACAAGCTCGGGAACGTTGGAGGAGGACGCACTGCCCTGACTGACAGTGCGGGCATGATCCACATGATTCTGTGTGGGCGCAGTTGACGGTGTCGCCCCCGATCCTCCTGGGCCTGATACTGAACCATCGGCCGGCTGCACGGGCGTGTCTTCACCCGATCCCGAAGTGGATACGGTTCCGGGTACCGGCTCCACCGTCGGAAAGACTGGTGGCGACGTGGGTGCGCCTACTGGCGTCTGCACCATGGGTGTGGGTGGCGACCGATTCGCTGGCAACTGATGAGCAGTAGCTCCGGTCATCTGCATGTGGTACCTTATTAGAAAAACATTATTCATTACTCAAAAGTCCATACTATGGAATATGTTGGAACTTACTTGTAAATGTTCTCTGTGCTTTCAACCACGCCTTGGGTGAGATTAAGGCTCCGCCCCTTAATACCCGACTCCTTGGCCGGCGGCGACCACCAGTTAAAAACGCGTCCCACCACGGGCACGTGTCGCAGTATGCCCTCCTGCCAGAGCTTTTCCTCCGACTCCCGCTGCAGATCCGCGGTGACAGCCTCAATGCCCTACGTTTCAAAATAAATTACCAAATACACAGATCCCTAATAATGCACTACACTACCTTTTTGACAATCTCTGACATGGTGTCCAATACCCGGGAGTTCTCCTGCACGCTCTTGCCCACCGTAACTACTAGGTCCAGAAGCTCCTCAACCTCCGTTTCGTGAGTGACCATCCCGAAACGCACACAAATTAGACCATCGGTGCCTTCGCCCAGGGAGAAAGCATTGTCTGTGGACTTAAGGGCCTCAACAAGATCAATGTTCAGCTTGTTTAGCTCCGTTTTGGCTTGGTCTGTTAGCAGGGACTCCCAGCCCTCGGGCACAAAACGCACGCCACCCATGCCCGCCCATTCGGGCAACGGGACGAGACGCAGCACTTCACTACGCTCCACCAGATGGATGAATCGTGCCTTGTGCTTTATCGTCGCTCGCAGAATGTCCACATGCGCCTCCAAACTCTGGGCAAAGCTTTCCAAGTTCTCGGAGGTCGGCGGCTGCTCACCTAATCCCAATTCGAGCGGACAGTAGCGTATGCAACTGCCGTGTGTCGGATGTTCAATCACCTCGAAGTCAAACTGAAAGTAAATGGTGATTAGATAACACAATATATGATTGCTTTTTTATTCCTTACATTGGGACAGTCGCGTTGTAAGATCTGACCTAGCCAGGAGTTAAGGCGGTCGAAGTAGGAAGCATTATTGACCTTCTCAAGCGGTTTGAGGCCTTCGGCCGTTTCTCGCTCAGCAACAGCGGCGGCAGACGAACCACTGCCCCCTAATGGAATGGTGGTGCTGCCATCAAACTGATAGGCGACAACGGGGGCGGCTGCATCAAACAGTGCCTGGACATCAAACGGGCTCTGGATGATATCCGACAAAGAGGCTCCGGTCTGCGCTCCAGGCGTATGGCTCTAAAAAAATATGAGGAAAACCTTCGGTAATCTTTTGAATTTCCTGAACAAAAATTTATGACTCACCAACACCCGGATGCCCTCGCACTTGGAGGCAATTTCAAAGAGAATGCTGCACGTCTGGAAGGCCACATGCAGGCGCTCTGCAATTGCCTTCCGGCCCAAAGCCTGTAGACTGGTCCACAAAGACAAGGCGTTGAGGCGACGTGACAGTATGGGATCGGATTCGAAGGCACTCAGAGCGCTGTTCTGTAGAGGACGGTGCAGCAGAACTATTGGCAGACTGGGCACACCCAGCCAACTACCCAAATTAAGGGCCATAGAGTGGAGCACCTCTTCCACATGTCCCTGCTTTTGGGCGCAGACCAAGGCAGCCAGCCCATGACCACTGGCATGCAACCACATATTATGCGCCTTGCATACGTCCCGCAACCGTAGCAGATTGTCTACATAACCGCACAGCGAGGCTCCAATATCGGCGACCACAAGCAACGGCGTCCTGTTATTGCCGACATCCAGTTGGATTTGCTTTTGCAGCAGCGTTACATCCATAGTTCCGTATTGACTGTGCTCGGGTATGATCTTAATGGCCTCCAGAGGGATACCCAATTGCCGGCAGGCGTACTGTAGCCTCACCGGCGTTGTATTCTCCGAAATATAAAATGTTGGCTGGGCCAGGGCAGGAATGCCGCCTTCCAAATACCCCGGACACCTAGCCACGATGGCCAGGCGAACCGTACGCAATACTGCGTCTGCGTTATCCGCATGAAAGCTGCTCGCCGGATGGGAGAAATGAAACAATGTTCCCAGCCATCGGGTGGCGTCGCCGGAAATGCTATTCGTTACCCGGAGCAGTTGCTGGCGGTCCAGATGCGATAAGTAGGCCACAATGCTGTGCGAGATGAGGGCCAAATGAGAGACATCATCTAGAGCGGGCAGCGGGAACTCTGGATCGTCGTCGCTGTCCGTGTACGAAACCAGTTGCTCCAGAGACTTGAGGATGTCGGAGGGCACCCGGTGCTCCGCTGGCAGAAGGGCTTCGCCAACAACGCGCTCATCCTCCTCCTGATTTTCGTTAGGACTTAGATTCTCCGGGGTGGACGACACCTTGACGTTCTCTAAACGCTGCAGCACTTGCGAGGATCGCAGCTCCAGCTCGGCCAGGCCCGATCGAATCTAAATAGAGGATAGGATTGACTAGTTAGGCGGCAAGTTGGGAAGGTAAACAACATTGCTCCAGAAGTTGACGTGTCTTCCGTCGTCGTCAGCAAAAAAAAAAAAGAAAGAAGCAGGGCGAAAACACGGAACACTCACACTGGAAGCCGCGATTTCGGCCACCGCTGTCGTCGATTGGTCCGCATCAGGTTCTTGATCTACGGCCGGATTCTGGCCGGGATCGTCGTCCGATCTACCAGCCGCTGACATGGTTTCAATGCGGTCTAATTCACTTTTAACTTATCGCCTGCGATGCAAAATAATTGTTTTCGTTTCGTGCCACTGCGTCTGTGTGTGTGTGTGTGTAAGTGCGAGGGTGTGCAAGCGTGTGTGTGAGAGAGGGCTGATGTGGAATGGTGCGGCCGTTTGGCAAGCGGCTAAGAAATACCGCGATCGATGTGCGAAAACTGGCCAATGGTTCTTGTAATGGCACTAGTGGGTAATATTAAAAATAGTAAGATAACTATAAAAATTGTAATTACAATCAGAACAGCATTCTTTTAAGCTTTCAAGCTACGCTGTAGTTGCTAAGAAATCATTCTTTTAATTTAATTTTAACAACAATTATTCAGTCCTAACATATATTTTTTAATACAATTCGATGTATAAATTATTTCAAAACTATCTTAGAAGAAGGATGTCAATATGGCTTACTTCTGTGCTTAACCTAACGACCATGGGTTGAGTCTCCGTTAAGCGCTATTCACCACAGTATAGATCCACGACGTGCATACAGGCAGAACAACATTTTCGGTATTTTAGAACCACCAAATCACGTCCGCACTGGCAGTCCGACCTTTTGCCGAAAACTATCGATAGTTGCAGGGAAAAACATCGGAATTTCCAAGTGTCAATAGTATCGAGTAAACATCGACGTGTGTGCATGAGTGTGGGAATTTATTAAACAAAACCGAAACGCAAACTATATTTATGTAATAAACGGAACGCCGCAACGCTAAAGAGTTATGAGTAGTCTACGGCAAGAACGGACTTTTTAGACGAAAGCACCTATTAATCGATTAGCATAAAAGTGCTGCAGCTCAATCAATTGATTCGTTTTGCTCAACCAAAAACAAAATATATTCCTATTCCAAATCGCTGCAATAGTTGCTCTTTCGCCGAAAAGTAAAATCAAATAAAAAACACAACGCTCACACATACACACATAAACCTGTGCAAGACAACAAAAAAGAAGAAGAGCAGACGCTAGCTATATAGAAAGCAAAAAGTGTGGAGAAAACCCTTCTCCCTGAACGAAGGGGCAACAAAACTAATCGACATATAATTAGTGGAGCGCAAAAAGACCGCGTAAAATTTAGAGAAAAACTTTTTTCTCAAAAAAAAAATAGAAGCCTTGTTATCGATTTTATTCGGAGGTGTATATGTGTGAAGCGCGCCCGCGTGCGGTTGTGTGTGTGAGTGTGTGCGTGCTCTCCGCGCGTTATCAAAAACAACAACAATTGGTTGCAAAAGGAGAAATAAAGAAGAAGAAAAGAAACTTTTAGCCGGTTGCAAATCGTGCTATCTCGTTCGCACCGCGGTCAATCGCGGGTCATAGTTCATTATTTCAAATGATTTCGCTGCTGCAAATGAAATTCCATGCGCTTTTGTTGTTGCTATCAAAAGTCTGGACATGCATCTGTTTCATGTTCAATCGCCAAGTGCGAGCTGTAAGTACAGAAATTGGCGAAAAGCAAAAGGAATACATCAAAAGAATAAAAATAGTTTTTATTTTTACCCGCCCGAAACCCTGAAATAATTTCCAACCCCCTCCCGCAATTGTCCCATAAGTACAACACTACACAATAATAATAATAAAAGCCACAGTAGTGATAAGCCTTCCAATAATACAGTCGGTACTCGCTAAAGTACACAATACAATACAACCATTAGTTCGATATATAATCAAATTTTCTTTTTTAATCACATCACCACACAATATTATTAGCTATATTTTCTTATCCGAAAGTATTTTCGGCTTTTAAAGCTATAATCTTGATTGTTATTATCTTATCAAAGTATTTTTTTTTATTTAACACTATTTATTTTAATATTATAAATTATTATATCAAACTTTTATGGGTATATCTGAGTATTTTTTTCTTCAAGTATACCTCATAGCCAGTGGCATCTGTCCAAAATTTAGCCTTTATCAATATTTTCGGCACGCGTTTAATGGGTTCTGTTCCATAGAAACCCCGTCCCCCTGAGAAGTGCACTCCGATGCTGTTCACCAATCCGCCTTATCGACAACCCGGCTTTTTGGCCCAAAATCATGACGCGGCAAGAAGCACTGAACTTCGTTCGCAGCATTTGTATTCCCCATAACTACTAGTTCCATAAATACCTAGACAACTAGATTTAACTCAAATCTGAATGATAATTTAAAAAAAAAAATATTGTTCAGTTTTAACATGCATTGATTTAATTAATATAATCTTTTTGATAAAAAATAATGTTCAGTTTTAACATGCATTTAATATATGTACATATATAAAAATATGAAGGAGATCTAAAGAATTTTTCATGGTCGTCATGGTTGTGAAGTTTTGTGTTTATATTTCTTTAACAAAAATCTGTTTTTAAAGTCCCTCACCTTTAGCACCCTAACCCCAGTGTCTATAAATCTAGTAAAGAGCTCAGTTTTTCCATTTTGAATGCCTTTTAATTACTGCTCCGTTGATTATGTATTAACTTCCTTAGTTTATCCAGTATCAACCGGTTAAATATGAACTCTTCCCGCTGTCACCCGTCTCGCGCCACCGCCTGAGCCTGGTACAGCGGAAGACCCTCGTTCTGGACTTGGATGAAACGCTGATCCACTCCCATCACAATGCGATGCCCCGGAATACGGTGAAGCCGGGCACGCCGCACGATTTCACCGTAAAAGTGACAATCGATCGGAATCCAGTACGCTTCTTCGTGCACAAGCGACCGCATGTGGACTATTTCCTGGACGTGGTGAGTTTGTAAAGGGATTACACAATAATGGCTAAGCTAAAAACGTTGTACAACCACATCTAAAAGTTGTTAAACATATTTCAGCTGCCTTTATTTTGTATATAAACATTGTGCAACTATTACTAACCGTCGATTTTCATCAGGTATCGCAGTGGTACGATCTAGTAGTTTTCACGGCCAGTATGGAGATCTACGGGGCCGCGGTGGCGGACAAGCTGGACAATGGCCGGAACATCCTCCGGAGACGATACTACAGACAACATTGCACGCCCGACTATGGATCCTATACCAAAGACCTGTCCGCCATCTGCAGTGATTTAAATAGGGTAAGATCGGGTGACTCAAAATATTTAATACATATCAGGTTCAAAATGTTAAAGTGGATGCATTTTTAAGGAAAAATGAATATTATGTCTTTAGAGAGTCTTACAAATTCATTTTAAAAAGAACTAGACAGAGCTTAAATCGCTAGAATATATGTTATTATATATTATCCTTTGGATTGTTCAGTTTCTTATTTATTTCGACTTCTTGCAGATATTTATTATTGACAACTCGCCCGGTGCCTATCGCTGTTTCCCCAACAATGCCATACCCATCAAGAGTTGGTTCTCGGATCCAATGGACACGGCGCTGCTGTCGCTACTACCCATGCTGGATGCCCTCCGGTTTACAAACGACGTGAGATCGGTGCTCTCCAGGAATTTGCATCTGCACCGCCTCTGGTAGCAGGTGGGCCGCCTGTCGCTAGTGTAGTCTATATATTTAGGAGGAACAACGTAAGCCAGCGATCTGGGGATGATACCTTCTGAAATTAACAACAAACATGGTGGTGCTGTGACACATTAACGAATTTTTTCATTATTTTTATGTTTAGCATTCAGTCAGATGAGCAAAGGGAAACACAGATAATAGGGAAAGGGAGGAGATATTTGGATTTCTGGAGATCTGTTTTTTTTTCGTTTGTGTATTAAGATTAACATTTTTTTTTTAAATCAAATTAAAAGGCATATGTGTCCATATACATATGTAGGTCAGATATATTGAAAAATTTTCTGAACATTTTGTTTTTGTTCCTTGTGCATGTATATTTTGATTATGATATCAAATGGAAGCTCTTGAACACAGTATATATATATATATGAACATGAAGAAAGTGAAGTAAAAAGATTAAGAACAAATTTTGTCAAGTTATATATCATATTATTATAAATTAAATCTAAGGCCACTTACAACCAGAGTCTTGTAATTTCTATACCATGATGACAATTAATTATTATAAAACAAAAATTGTTTTTTATGATCATAGCAAGATGAAGCAAAATACTTATAATTATATAAATTAGTTGATTACGAAACTTTCCTGGACATCATTATTATGGATAATTATTAAATGTAACCATTTGTGTATAGACTTATACATGTTCTGCCCTTGTTTCCTGTACAAAACTAAACGGACGGAAGATCTTTCAAGAGTTTCATTGCTTGCAAACCAAACAACACTTTTCTAAGGATAAGATTTTTGTCTTTCGAGGGAGTTATATATTTATACATATATATATATATATACCTACAACTAAGCAACAACCAACAACTATGAACTACTAGTGAAGTAAAACAACAACAAATAACAAGCAAGCAAGCAATGCAAAAGTTATATTTTGTAAGGCGAGCCAAGTAGCAATGAGAGGTAAAAATCGCATTCATTCTGATAGGATAACATCAGATCAGATTTAATATGAGCCGCAGACTGGGACAGATATATATAGGAAGTTTAGAGAGCCAAATCACTAATTATACGAGAACCGAATTAGTCTGAGAATTGAGAAATCGTGGCACATCATCCGAGGCATCACAGGATATTTGGGAGAGCAGCAAAGAAATTAAAAAGGAGAATGTAACATGTGAAAATTGCTTCCATAGTTAATGTTATTTCCAAAAGCATAAATACACCACTAATCTAAACAACAAAAGCTTACACACGCCCCTTACCTTTTACCCCACCCCTATCCGATTGTTCTTTTTATCGTATTGTAAATTTACAACAATCACTATTTGTTTATTTATTGCAAGGAAAACGAGAATAATACGTGTATGCGCGATGTTGTTAATTTTAAGTAGTTTGTAGCAAATTTGTTAAACTGAAACGTAAATGAAATAAATGAGAAAGGGAACACAAAAGCAGATAAAAATTACAAAAAATACAAGAAAATCTTAAAAAAAATAAAAAAAAAATTGTTTATTTTCATCTTCTATTTGAATCTTGCGCTTTTTTAGTTGTACAGAATTATACATTGTAACAGACTGCTAGAAACGCGTCAACTGGTCTCTGTTAAAAATTGTGCTGTAAAGCGCATGTAAACTGAAAAATGGAAGCATCTTTGTACCTATAACAAACTTTTTGATACTCTATATAAAGCATTAAAATTATTTTATAAAAAATGTTGGTAATATTTTTTTAACACAAGTCTGCCATAGACTTTAATAAATCCAATTCGACATATGAATTCAATTAAGAACAGTTTCGTGGTTTTAAAATATTAAGGACTCGAAAAACAAGCTTTACTAATAATTGGAATTTAATAAATACACATTTTGCATATTTAAAAATTATTAAAACAGTATATAAAGAAAGTTTCCTATTATTATAAATTTAATCTTAATCATGACGACTAAGCCAATAGACTCTTACAGCTAAGGTAATGCATAGTGCTGTTAACCGACAATTTGAGGTTATGTGCACTTACTTCTCCGGCAACAGCAGCAAGTTACTGTGGGATAAAAGCACCGTAGTATTTACGCAACGCAACTGGTAAGAGTCGTCCGGATCGCCTTGACACTCAAATATATATATATATATAAGAAGTAGACTCTCTTCCATATATAGGAAAACCGAATCCATGGCCACCGCCGGAGCTGTAGCAAAAGTGGGAAAATCAGTGCACCGCATTTTCGTGGGCAATCTACCGTGGACGGTGGGCCACCAGGAATTGCGTAGCTATTTCCGCGAGTTCGGACGCGTAGTGTCCGCCAACGTGATCTTCGACAAGCGAACGGGGTGTTCCAAGGGCTACGGCTTCGTTAGCTTTAACAGCTTGTCCGCTCTGGAAAAGATCGAAAGCGAACAGAAGCACATATTGGAGGGCAACTACCTTAACATACAAAAATCTTAGATACACCTTATTCGTTTGTCATTTAGTTTGTAAGCATTGTATTTTTTTTTGAAATGTCTGACAGTGATTCGGATCCAGAGGAGGAGCTTTTTTATCAGGCAACAGAACATGTGGCCAAACAGTCTACGAACATTGGCTCCGCGGATCTGCTGCTCTTCTACGGTTACTACAAGCAGGCCATGGAGGGTCCTTGCGAGGAGCCAAGTCCCGGGCTGCTCCAACTGAAGGCCAGGAGTAAGTGGCAGGCCTGGCGAAATCTCGGAAAAATGTCCCACTCCTCTGCCAGGCAGGCCTACGTGCAGAAACTTCAAGAGCTCCAGCCGAACTGGCGTTCCCGGCGTAATCCCGGCTGGGTGGTGCACTCCATTCAGTCCGCTCCCCTGGAGGATCGGCGTATGGACAGCGAAAAAACTCTTTTTGACCACGTGAAGGAAAACAATCTGAACAGGCTAAAGGAACTGCTGGCCCCCGGAGATCTGGAGAGGCTAGACGAGCACGGTATGGCCCTCATCCATTGGGCTACCGATCGCAATGCCGTGGAGATCATTCAGTTTCTTGTAAATAGTGGGGCTAGTGTGGATCAACGGGACGCAGAGTTGCAGACACCTCTGCACTACGCCGCCAGTTGTGGACATCAGGAGGCGCTGGTTTGCCTATTGGAGCTGCGGGCCAATCTAGATCTATGTGATTCGGATGGACAGACCTGCTACGACGTGGCCGAAGATGATCAAATTTGCCAGCTACTTCAAAAGGAACGAGAGCGCCTAACTGGATCTGCCTCCTAATGCTGAACACTATTAAATCTTAAGTAGTTCGGTTTTATTTCTCAAATGCCCTCTAATGTGTTGTGAGCCATTGTAAATCGACGAAAAATCCACTTTAAACTTGATTGGAAAGCATTGTTATTTTTAAAAGGTGAAACCCCTATCCATAAATTCAAATGGTACGTTTTTTAACATTATAAGTTGTTAAGTTCCTCTCTGAAATCATATTAACATTTGCCACGATATGTCAACTATTAAAAACATACAAACTATAAATATATTTCCTGAGGAAATTATCCAATCGCAATTTTCGGGTTTCTTGTGAATTAGAGCAGGATACTAAATCCTAAATTAATGTTGGGTTTGAAAAAGAAAGAGATAGGTGGTTTGATTCAGAAGGAAAGACGCTGTAGCCCATTTGAAAATGGTATTCACAAAATAAGAGAATTCCGACTCAAAACGCCTTTAATCATCCTCAGAGTCTTAATGCTTAATCCCAATCTTAAGCTTATTGTTCCCGAGATATTTTGTTACATGGAAATTAGTCCAAGGTGTTTTTGCTTAAAACTTAATTACAAACACACAATTTATGATACTATTTAATGAATTTATTGATAATGAAGTAAATTTTACGTTCGAAGTGGCTGGTCACCCCTACTTCCACAGCTTTTTGATAGACATGTTCTTTTCTGAGTCCTTCTGCATCACCTTGGCCACTGCCATTTCAAAGTCCTCCTGGGTGACATGGACACGACGCTCGCGCAGCGCATACATGCCAGCCTCCGTACAAACACCCTTGACTTCCGCACCTGATGCACCAGGCATCAGCTCGGCGATCTTGCGCAAATTAATTCCACGTGTCAAGTTCATCTTACGGGAGTGAATTTTCAAGATATCCAGACGTGCTTCCTCGTTTGGTGGAGGGAACTCGATTTTGCGATCAATGCGGCCGGGACGCAAAAGAGCGGGATCCAAGATGTCAATGCGATTGGTGGCCATGATCACCTTGATGTTTTTGGTGGCCTCAAAACCATCCAGCTGGTTAAGCAACTCCAGCATAGTACGCTGCACCTCAGAATCGCCACCTGATCCCGATTCAATACGCGATGAGCCAATTGAATCGATTTCGTCCATGAAGATAATAGAAGGCGCATGCTCGCGGGCCATCACAAAGAGCTCTCGCACCATTCGCGAACCCTCGCCGATGAATTTCTGGACCAGCTCTGATCCGGAGACACGGATGAAGGTGCACTCGGTGTGATGGGCAACGGCCCTGGCCAGTAGGGTCTTTCCCGTACCAGGAGGTCCGTAAAGTAGCACTCCTTTAGGCTGGGCGATACCCAAAGCATCAAACAGCTCAGGGTGCTTTACGGGCAACTCAATCACCTCCTTAATCTCTTTGATTTGTTTGTCGAGGCCACCAACCATTTCGTATGTGGAATCGGGTACTTTTTCGACCATCATCAGCGACACTAGTGGGTCCACTTTATTGGGCAGAATCTTGTGCAGAGTATAGCTCTCATTTCGCAGGGCCACACGGCAATTGGGAGTGACATCGTTGATGTCGATGTTTTTGTCCAGATCAACGACGAATTTGCCCTCGGGATGCACTTTGACAAGCACCTTCTTCTTGTCCATGGGCTTCACAACCTCGCCTACATAGCTGCCTTGTTCTTGAAGCAGCTGAAGCTCTTCCCGCAACATACGAACTGCAAAACAGTTACAACAAGCCAATCATGTTTTGGCATACATATTTTGGAGAAAATGTGCAGAGTAATTACCTTTAGCATTAAGCTCATTGCGCTGGGCCTGCAAACGCCTCAGATTCTGGTGCTTCTCGGCCACAACCAACTGCAGTTCTTCGATCTTCTGGATGTAGTAGGACCGGAATCCCTCACCTTTTTGGTAGGCCGACTCGATTTCCATCTAAGAATACATTTTAATTAGTTTTCTGCACCTGAAAAAAGGCTCAAAATAAATACCCGATTCGTAACCGTCATTTTGTTTGATGTGTGCTTTGTTGCGCTTTAATTTGCAATTATTCCTGTTTCCTCAAGTTAATTTTGTTTTTTCGTATGACTCGGCATTCTTTGCTTGTTTTAATGTTACCATACGGGAAAAATGATTTTTTACCGAAATGTTATCGATCAGCCCTGGTTTTTAAAAACCTCTTATTTCGGAATACCGAAAACAGAATTTATTTTAAAGTAAAATTGTATTTTCCTCAAAGAAACGAAATTGTATTGCTCTTATTTTGTTATGCTGTTTATTGATTTTGGGAGATGCCCTTAAAATTTAGGCCTATTAATCGGTGTACGGAAATATCGGAAATGAAAAGAATCGCTTAAAATGAGCACAGACTCTAGCTTTTTGCCGATAACGTGGTCATCGTGATAGAGGCACTTCATCATAAAACCGGGAAATTTTTTTAGTGCTACAGTGGACTTTTCAGTTACACAGGTCGGCATTCTTATATTACCATGCGGTTTCCTTTTTAATTTTCTGTGTTTCAGAGAAATAAGATATTTGTTATATTTATTGTAGTTATAATGAATAAATGATAAAAAATTTTCAAAATTAATTTTATTTAAATAAAACTAATAACCAAATATAAATCTCAATACTGAGAAAACAGTTTTGTCCTGTTTCATAACAACTGTTGGGCAGATACCGAACCTCAAAAGTGTACAATCTGCATCATCTGTAGATCGAGCCCCAGTAACGGTCCAATGCTCACTGCGCAGTCGAGAACTTCAGTGGTGCGGGAGATCGGATATCAACATTTGTCATTTCAAATGATGGAGAATCCATCAAAATGTGCTTTGAGAACAAAGTACTGTTTTGTGCTCAATCTAACTCAATAATACATTCAAAATCCTCTGCCAAAAATCAAATTTCCACTCCTTTACCTTTTATTTTGTTTTACTAGTTTCCGCTTAGACTTGTTCCATATATTAAAGTCAAAAATGCCGGCAACCAAGGGACTTCTGTTTAAGCGCTATGTCCGAATCGAGCTAAATTTGTGGCGACGGACAGTGTTCGAGATTATCACCTTGGTGGTTATGGTCCTAGCGATCCTTCTTAATCCCATTGCCCACTCCAAGAAGCTTCTATATACGGATTCCGAAATCGAAAACGAACAGAGCATCGTGTCGCACAAGCTTCAAGATATCAATATATTGACGTAAGTGATTTTTCGTTTCCACGAACATAGGGCTTAGTTTCGTTGGCAGACGTTTTTGATAACAAGAATAGAATTTCTTTATTAGACCGAAAATTAAACCTTCTCATAAAGGGTTAAATCATTTAGGCCATCCATTTAATTTAATTTACATAATTACATCGGTTTGTTAAATATATGTACCATTTTTTATAAGAAGCTTTTAGACAGGTAAATGTCTTTGTTCTGCAGATTTAACTAGTCCCCTTAAACCTATAAAATATATTTTAATATATAGTGACAGAAGTCTGTGCGTCAAGAATCTATTATAGTAGGTCGCATTTGTAGGTTCTGGGACACTCTTTTGGCTAATATTTCCTTAACCGGAAGAAAAACCGCAGTGTAGTAACGAAAACAACCGCAAGCATTTTCGTTTTTATACCCGTTACTCGTAGAGTAAATGTCCGCCCGTTTGTCCGTATGTACGCTGAGATCTCAGGAACAATAAGAGATACAAAGTTTGGATTAAGCATCTAGATTCTCTAGATGAATACAAATCACAAGTTAGTTTCAGCCTCCTGCCACGCCCCTGCAACGCCCACAAAACATAGAACTAAACTCGTTGAGATCTCAGGAACTAGAGGAGCTAGAAAGATTAATCATGTATATTCTTGAGATGGCAGCGCATCTTAAGGTGGTACCATTATCCGACCATGCCCATGCCCTATTACGAGAACCACCAGCCGCGAACGTTGCGATCTCGGCACTATACTAACGAAAGCAACAAAGACGAAAATAAAAAACCAAAAGTCGAATGCATCGATTTTTACAACTGACACCTGACGACGTCTACGAAAGCACCGACTGCCAATGACTTTCGAAAATTGAAAACCGGGGACTTGTGCTGATTTTTGATTTTCGTTGCCTTTGATTTTGACCTGTGCTTCGACGAAGAAGAAGCAATGAAATTGAACTTATTGCACATTTTCAATTGCTGGTTATAAGTAGCGTTTTTTTTTGCATGTTAGAAAAATGCTATCAACCATAGTGTCGTTTAAAGAAGATCCATTGTAGTAAAACTTTTTATGTAATCCATATATTCCGCAGACGAATGGCTGACTCAAAGCGGGAGAAAACCAAGTACAGCCTGGTCTACACTCCAAAAACGCCGTTTTCAACAGAGTTGGTCAAGAAAGTGGCCAAGACGCTGGAACTGAATTCCACCGCGGGCTATGATGACGAGGCCGAGTTAATGAATCAGTTTGACGAGCGGACAACCCTGGCGGGCATTGTATTCCGTGGGTCCATAGCTGAGGGCACCCCTTTAACGCTATCCGTTTCGATTCGCTTTCCCAGCGAGTTCCGGACAATCTCTTCGTTTCTTACGGAGGATCGCTTGTGGATAACTCGCTGCTCGGGTCGCATTAAATCCGGACGGGATCGGGCCAAAAGCGATAAACAGCAGGATATATATATTCGCGAGGGATTTCTTCAGCTGCAGCATCAGATCTTTGTAGAGTGGTACCATCAATTGCGCATGGAATTTGTCACCAACTATCCGGAACCCAGTTTCGAGGTCTTCAATATCCTGCTGAAAGCCGCCGATGAACCCTGCTCTGTAATGAGTGTCGCACAGCTGCCTACATTCTTCTATAACTTCATATACCTACTGCCCTTCCTGAATATTATTAGAGTGAGTTTATCTACGAATATATTAATATGTTAAGTTAGTATTAATTTAGGGATTTTTACTTATATAACGCTCCCAAACAAGAAGAAACTCCGCGACTATTAGATACCCGTTACTGTTTTACATAATTTAAAAAAATTCATTTTGCTACTGAAAATTCACATAGCGCCACCTTTTGTCAGTAAAAACCATGTTGAATAACTGATGATGACATCACTGTCTATGTGAGGCCTTATAATTAACATTTCTTATTAAATAGCGAAATAATGTTCCGATTTGGAAAATCTTTGGTAAATCGATAGATATTGGCAAATAATGTTATATAAAGTCAAATGAAGTTATACATACGAGGTGTGTTCAAAAAGTAAGGTGACTTTTCAAATTTCGCGGGCAACATATTTTCGATTATCGTTTTTTTTGTTTTGTTATATTGGTACACTCTTCCCTAACATCTGTACCAAGTTTCAATGGAACATCCTCTTTTGTTTGGTTGTGAGAGGCGTAAAGTTACAAGTTATTTTGCGAGCTCGGCGATTTTTTGCTTTTTTCGGTCTTGGCTCGTCTGGGCTCTTCCATTGGGACGATTGGGCTTTGGTTTCGATATCATAACCATATACCCATGATTCGTCACCAGTTATGACCCTTTTGAGTAAATCTGGGTCGTCGTTGACGTCATTCAACAGCTCTTGAGCGATGCTCATGCGACGGTTCTTTTGCTCAAAATTCAGCAATTTCGGAACAAACTTCGCTGACACACGACTCATACCCAAAACGTTTGAAAAAATTTCATGGCACGAGCCAAGCGATATACCGACATCTTCAGCAACTTCTCTGATAGTGATTCGACGATTTTCCAAAACAATTTTCGTCACTGCTTGAACGTTTTCATCAGTTGTTGACGTGCTTGGGCGTCCAGAGCGAGGCTGGTCATTGGCATCTTCCCGGCCATCTTGGAAGAGTTTGTACCACTTGTACACATTTTTTTTACTCAGAACAGTTTCACCGTATGCCACTGTCAACATTTCAAGTGTTTCAGAGCACTTAATTTTATTTTTTACACAAAATTTGATGCAAATCCTTTGATCCATATTTTTCGATAGCAAAAAATCGCCGAGCTCGCAAAACAACTTGTAACTTTACGCCTCTCACAACCAAACAAAAGAGGATGTTCCATTGAAACTTGGTACAGATGTTAGGGAAGAGTGTACCAATATAACAAAACAAAAAAAACGATAATCGAAAATATGTTGCCCGCGAAATTTGAAAAGTCACCTTACTTTTTGAACACACCTCGTATGTTATGGACACCACAGTTTTCCGTGGCTTGTGGGCGTTACAGTAGGTATGACAGGATAAAAACACCACTTTGAGCTGCGGTGGGATTCCAAGAATGTGTTTCCTTGATTCAAACTTTCTAGCTTTTATAGTTACCGAGATAGAATCGTTTTTGGTTTTCTGCATTTTGTGGGCGTTCGAGTGGGCGTGAACAGATGGTGAGAAAATATTACGCATTGGGGCATCATTAGAAACTACATGCTTAAACCGAGCGGTCTATGACTTATAGTTACCAAGATCCCAGTGATTTTACGGAAAGCTAAAACCGTCCTTCGAGCTTGGTGGGCGTAAGAGTGGGCGTGATCGAATAGTACTCTCACCTTAAGATGGGCTGGAATCTCAAGAGATAACTTACTTAATCCCAGACGGACGGTTCGACAGACGGAATACTGATACAGGAATATATACACTATATAGGGTCGGAAACGCTTCCTTCTACCTGTTACATACTTTTGAACGAATCTAATATACCCTTTTACTCTACGAGTAAGAGGCATAAAAATGTATGTTTTAGTTTGACCTTGTCAATACCTATCAATTTACCAAATATTTTTTTGAAATAGAAATCACAATTTATTATTTATTATTATAAGGCATCACTTAATAAATGTGCTTTTTCTGACAAAAGGTGGCGTTGGTTATATTTCTGGTAACAAAATGATTATTATACCCGTTACTCGTAGAGTAAAAGGGACCGACCCTATAAAGTATATATATTCTTGATCAGGATCAATAGCAAAGTCGATTGAGCCATGTCCGTCTGTCCATCCGTCCGCCCGTATGAACGCTGAGATCTCAGGAACTATAACAGACACAAAGTTGAGATTAAGCATGAAGATTGTTGAGGTCCGGGGACAGCGCAAGTTTATTTCAGCATCCTGCCACGCCCACTCTAACGCCTAAAAACTAAAAATCTGAAAAAACTGAAATCTCGGGAACTATTAGAGCTAGTAACTTTAAATTCAGTATGTATAAACTTTGGATGCCAGCGCATCTTCTAGTGGTACCATTATCCGGTCACACCCAACCATACGCCCACCAAGCTCAAAAGATGGTTTTCGCATTTTCAAGAAAACCTGACATCTCGGTAACTAGAAGTGAAAGTTCGGATTAAGCATGAAGATTTTAATGATGCCCCAAATGCGAATTGTTTTTTTCCCATCTAGCCACGCCCACTCTTACGCCCACAAAACCCGAAAAACCAAAAATGCAAAGATGTCGGGAAGTAAAAGTTAGGCTTAGGAATACGTATTTTAGAGAAGCCACTGCAACTCGACACGAGTTTTCATCTGGCCACGCCCACTCTAACGCCCACAAACCGCGGAAAACTGTGGCGTCTATAATAATATTATGAATGCCTTCGTCTGACCTTGTATAACTTATTTCTGTTAATATCTATCGATTTACCATCGATTTATCAAATCGGAACATTATTACTGGGTTAAAAGAAGCGCATTCCAGAAAGTCCGTATGTATAAGCGTCGAGATCTCATTCTTATATCTATAATAAGGCTTTGTGTATATTTATGTAATACTAAAAAGCTTTAGCTATCAGGAAGGTTTTTATATATTTTAAAAATATAAAATATTTGACTGTTGGGGAGCTTGACTATCGCTTCCCTTCTTGGTTATTGTTAAAATTTGAAAATGTGTGAATTAATATTAATGAACACTTTGAGTCTTTCTTAGAACGTGGCTGCCCAGGTCCAGGATGGTGTGATGGTTCATCAGTGGCATTATGGGTACTCGTTTGGCCTGCAATGGGGACTCAAGTTTTTGGTGCTTTTTCTGAGAATGTGCATTTTGGGAGCCATATTTATACTTATGATATTGGTGAGTTGCTTCAAATTGATATTAGATGAACTTGATATACATACATATATCAATTGTATTTAGTCATTTTGGGCTTTTGGTGGACGGGACGGGGAAGTTTCGGGCAAGGGAATCATAGGTTTCATCTGCTTTGTCATAGTATATACCGTGGAGATCATTATCACTGGAATGGTGGTGGCGAAACTATTTGCAAATCCCACCAATGCGGTTCTGTTCGCCCTAGTGCTTTGGCTTTTCATGTACGCAGCTTTCTGCATTATATTGGAACGTTATTGGGACATCCACAAGTACTATGTGTTCTTCATCCTTGTGGCCTTCTGCAACTGTCAGATGCACTTTAGCATGAGTCTATTTAGGAATTGTATCGAAGACCCGGGTATAGTCCAGACAATTGATTTCGTAGTGATATTCACATCGGCCATTAGCTCGGCGTTGATATACTTCTTGATTCTGTTGGCGATACAGTGGCGAATGCCAGGCACGTTCCTGAGTCGACGGATAGTTAACAACAGGCCCCGGAAGCAGAGAGAGTCTGATGCTGCCATTATGTATGTGGGAAGGGCTCCCAGTTTTCTTAACTTCGAATTCGGCGATGTGGGTAGTGAAGAAGTAATGCGGTTGAACCATGTTAGCACCACACATCGTGATTCGGAGCGAAAGATCTTGAAGAACATATCTATGCGGGTCTATAGTGGGGAGGTGTTCGTGATCCTCGGGCATATTGGTTCCGGTAAACTGACTCTTTTGAGGATTATGGCTGGCCTCAAGTTTCCCCTTCGCGGCAGTGTAACAATTTTGGGCAAGCACTTTAAACCCCATGGCAAGTTTGTTTAATGATCTAAGCAAATTTTAATTTAATTTAATTTGAAAAAAAAAATACAAATAGGTGAAGTCCGTCGCATGGTTGACTTCCGTTTCGATGAGCATGGACTTAATAAGCACTTGACCGTGGAGCAGACCATCGACTACCATGTCCGTTTAAAACTGGCGCCCAACGAACTGGATCGCTACGAAATTGAAAAGCGAAAATGGCTGGCCATACTCGATCAGCATATCGAAAGTCGGAGGACTCGGATCGGAAAGCTGAGTCCGGCCTCTCTGAAACTTGTGGCTTTATGTTGTTGCTTGGCGGGTGATACAAAAATTATTATCCTGGAGGAGCCCACCATTGAGCTGACGGGACGGGAGGCGCAGGTGTTTTGGTCGATAGTCAATGCCGAGAAGGACAATAGAGCCTTTATCATATCCACCCACAGTGTTGGCGAGGCGGAGCATGCCGCAGATCGCATAGGAATTCTCAGCCTGGGCGTCCTGGAGGCCAGTGGGACACCCTTCTTCTTGCGTGCCAGGTTCAGCAGTAATGTGGAACTGGTATTTATGAAACTTTTTTTCAAAATACATTTTAGTCTCTCAAAATAGTCTCTCAATTCATATTATGTTGATTTTAGAAGGATTCTTGCTAATGAGTGTGAAGATAGTTAATAGTTAAAGCTAAGTGATATGAATTAGACTATATCGGCTTACATCGAGTAGATTGTTAATGCATACTAAGTTAGATTTTCTCTGATTTACGTAATCTCAGGTCCTAATCAAGAAACCACATGTGCCTGATCAGCCGATCACTGACTACATTAACCAGTTTATGCGTAATGTTGAGCCAGAAAATGAGATCGGCGATACCCTAACATACAGATTGCCGGTTGTATATCGGCCAAGGCTGCAGAAACTTTTAATTCACCTGGAAATCGATCGCAAGATGCTGGGCATCGAAAATGTGAGAGTGGTTGGAGCGGAGCTCTCTGACATATATATGAAGTTGGTAACGTCATTTCGACTGCAGCAACAGATAATCACGGATGTCAGTAAGTATATTGTTATAAATAAATACCTTAAGGTAAGATTGTAATGAACAGTGTTAATCGAAATATCCGATTATCCATTTCCACAGCCCAAACATTTAAGTACCAGGTTGTTTCCCAGAAGCAACTATCCAGACAACGGATGCGCGCAATGTTCTACAAGAAAATGATTCACACGGCGCCAAATGTCTGGCCCATTATCATGATCTTCACCAGCTTTGTTCTGATTGCTATCATTGCCCGGTTATCAGTACTGCTCGACATGCCAAAAGTGCGTCAAAACTCGATTCACATTGGTTTTATGGAAAAGGAGGATGTGGGCAATACTATTCCAGATTTAAGGGAGTGTGGCTACATAGACATCCGATCAGCGGTGAAGGTTCATAAGACAAGGAGCGTTGATGTCTCCAGAACTTTCGATGACAAATCGTTTGCCTGCGAAAAGGGCAACTATCGGACAGATCTGAAGAAGAAGAGCGAACTGAGTAGCTTCGGCGCCGTGGAGGCGGATGGCGTACAGAGCCTTAACGGCTATATAACCCAGGATATGTTCCACTCGGCTCCCATGGTGCTCAATCTGATGCACAATGTCTTCCTTAGGTAAGAATCTTCTTAAATCTCTTTGGCAGTTGCTAAAGCCACAACACTGCCAGTGACGTCACTGACCAGTCCCACAAACCTTCGTTTCTTAATACCTTTTTAAATAATTGTCCAGGCTTGCATATCCAAATCAAAATAACTTAGCCACCCTCGTCGAGAATCATCCGATGCCCACGCAGTTGTCGCGGAAGGTCAACGTGCTGGATAACAAGATCGCTCACATTCAAGTCCCATTGGTCGTTGGCTGCATCCTTCCGTTGACTGTATCAGTTTTCGTAATCCCCCTGGTGGAAGAGGAGCTATATAACGTCCGATTCCTGCAGCATATGGCAGGACTTGGCCTGAAGGTCTATTGGGGAATTAATTTGTTTTGGGACTGGTTCACCTTCTTCATATATTCGATTATTATTGTGGTAATCATGGGTCTAATGGGCATTGGCGGCTTTGGGTTTTACGAAAATTCTATTCTGGTGCTCTTACTGTGTTTCTTTGGACTTGCGGCGCTGCCGCTCACCTATCTGGTGTCGATGTTTGTAAACAAGTCGATTGTCCGGGCTTTTCTGGTTTCCGTACTCCTGCAGGGTGTCTCCGGCCTGGTGCTCTACATCATCTACTGGGACGTGGCGAACAGCAATACGATCTTCTTTTACAGCGCCTGCATGTCGCCAGGATTCTCGTTGCTGGACGGAATAAGCCTTGTGTATGCCCAGTGTCTGGAGCGAGCGATCTGCAAGGACAAGTGCCAAGCACACGCCAGCTGCACAGAAGACAACATGTACGAGGTGGTCCCCAATTGCCAATGTGAGTCCTCGGTACACTAGTTTTTTTCTCATTGCATATTCTTCCTAAAATAGGTTCCTTAAAAAATTAAAAAAAAATTGTATTTTCTTTTGTTCTACCTAGTTGACACTCATTTCCAGTGGGCCTCCCCTGGCATTTTACCCGCCATTGTTTACATGATATTGTCCGCCATCCTTTTCTTGATGCTGATTTTCTGGATTGAACTGCATCGCAGAGAGAAGAAGTTTCATACGCCCACGGAGTGAGTTCGAATAATATCCTTTATTCGTATAAACATTTAGTTCTCCCGCAGCCTCCGTAAAATGAGGACCGCTACTTATCCCTTCGATGATGGCGATGTGGCGGACGTGAAGCTAAAAATAGCAGAAGCCGATGCTACAAAGGCTAAACAGTCTGTCTTCTTGGTGGATCAGGTGGAGGCCAAGGTTCCAACTGCAGGAAAGAAAATCAACACTGTTTCCTTTGCCTTAAACAAGTGAGTGAGCCCCAACACCCAGTAAGACAAAAAGAGCGGAAGCTTATTTTGTCCCACCAAAATATTTTAGGTTAGGCTATATCATTTCTATGGGTACAATTATGTACATATGTATATAATAGGTTTTAAGCTTATTCAATGCGGATCTAGGCTTCAAAAAAGAAACAACTATAAATGAAAGTCAGTTTATCCAATGTCCCGAAAATCTGTGATCCATTACATTTGTCTATTACATTTTATTTTCTTGTCCTTTTAGATACATGAGTATGGGCATCTTTGGGCCCCGTAACTCCGGAAAAAGCCATTTGATGCGGCAGTTAGTGGGCCAGGAGGGATTCGCCTTTGGCGAGATCTACGTACGTGGTCTCGACTTTAAGTACGATCTGGAGAGTATCCACACATACATGGGCTACTGCCCGCAGCACAGAGGACTTCTAAACGCTTTGACTCCTCGTGAGCACATTAGACTGTTGTGCATGATTCGTGGTGTTCCGGAGACGAAGATTGGCGAGAAGATGCACGATTTATGCCTGATGCTCAACATGACCGGTTGGATGCATCGGAAGTGCAGTTTGCTGACGGCGGAGAAGCGGCAAAAGTTGAAAATCGCGCTGTCATTGGTGGCCTACAATAAGATCCTTGTTTTGGACGAGCCCACGTGTGGCATGCCGGCAACTACTAGGAGGGAAATCTGGAATATCCTTCGATACATCCGATACTGCGGCAAGACTATAATTTTCGCCACCAACGATGAACTGGAGTGCAAGATTCTGGCGGACTTCATTATCCTGTTTCAGGACAGCGAGATGCTGGCTATCGGTAGCCTGCAATATTTGCGCTACAAGTACAGCCATGGATTTTATCTTGAGGTCCGCCTCATCCGCGATGGAGCCACCGTCGCCGAATCGGAGGAGAAGTGCGTTTTATCTAGTAATGTTTATATGGTTCTTGATTTATTAATTCTTAAATCCCGTAATACTTCAGTTTGCGTAAGGATGTCGAGAACTTGGCCAAGTTTGTTAACTTTTTGCACAACAGGTCTGAGCTGGTGTAAGTAGTTTCAATGGGTTTATAAGTATCTTTATTAAAGATGTTATTTGTGAATAGGGTTTTTTTTTCAATCTTTTAATGTAAATTTCTCAGTATTAACAATTTAGTCGATCGAGCCATATCCGTCAATCTTTAAATTAAGCTACAGTCGGCACATCACTTATTCGTACACCTATGTGTTGCAAGTTTATTCGTTAATATCTCGAGAAATACGTAACGGAAATTAAAATTTAATATCTAAAATTAAAGATATACATTTTGAGCGTATATTTTAAACTTAAGTATGTACCTTCCCATAAGTATTCCTTTGAAGTTTGATATAGTGTATCAACTGCTTACGATTTAATTTAACAACATGCTCAAACGGTATTAGTAAACATTCGATAATTAATCGAGAGATCATAGTTATTTTCTTCTCTTAGATTTTTACATTATTTTTACATCTACATTTCAGGGGTCGCTTGCACAATTGGTTCAAGTTCTACGTGCCCGTGGGCCAGATTGTCTACTCGTTTCTATATGGCGCCATGGAAAAGAACAAGTTGCGTCTGAACGTTAGTGACTATTGCATATATCAGGCGGACATGATCAATGTGGTGGCACAGGTTCAGGAGACAAGGGCCCAGTTAAAGCACCATATAGTCCAAACGGAGGGTCCACTGCCCATGGAACCTGTACCAAGCAAAAAGGCAAGCCACCCTAAGCGCAAGGGCAAAAAGTAATGTAGAGCCATTGTTGGGAAATAACAATATATCGTCAAGTTTGTTTTAATGTAAAATACCATATACATATGTACGTTTATAAACCGTTTTACCAAAGTGAAATTATTTAATTTTCTGACAATCTATTAGTCTGTATACGTGTGAACTTATGTACCTCTAAAACACTAAAATTACAAATTAAATGTAAATGTTGATTTAATAATTGTAATACTAAATTCTATAACACTAATTCATTTTCTGTTATATTGTTATACATAAAAATATGAATCGAAAATACTCGAAGGTCAATGTCTGGCCTCGGCTATCCAGACTAAGCACCTCGAAATTGTGGGCTTTCCCGTTTTGAATAAATTACAACTGGGCTGGCTGCACACGTGTTGTTTTGCATAATTAATGTGAATACATTGAGAAGTATACAACCACTGGGAAGTTTTCCACGTGACGGATTTAATTTTTAATTGGCGTGTCCAATAATTGACACCATACCACTAATACATTTTCGGTAGGGGATTGATTTTCAGGATCAAAAGTTTAATAAATGATAAATTTTTTATGCATTCGCTATTACGCCTTATTTACCAAAAAAATATATATTTAAAATCAATTTAATTTCAAATTAAGTTTTAAAAGTTATCGGCTAGTGCGCGTGACCTCAATCGATAGTCGACGTATCGATGATTATATTTGTCGCATTAGAATATTGCTCGCTCTTTCGATTGCTCTCGCTTTCAGTGTCAGCTGACGTAATAGTTAGCTTTCGTTCTCTTTCGTGCCACTAGTGCTGCCAACTTTTAGCTAGTAAAAACTAGTTAATAACAATAATAAAATAACAAAAAATATTCCCATTTTAACCAATTGCCCGGTTACTTTTTAGATTAGTGTATGCTAATAATTCTGACCACATATTACTATTACAATATTTTCTTAGTGAGTACAACTCATTTATTCATGATTACATATTCTGAATCTAATTGGCTTATAATATCTAACAAGAAAACAGATATCCCGCTGCTCTATAAAAAATCTTAAAACTGATTGGCCGGCACTATTCTTTACTCTCCTCTCTGCCTTCGTTCGTTGTTGTTATTGCCCGCCCAACAGTTTCGTTTCATTTTGTTTGGCATCTCCGGCGGCGTTAGAAGTATTACTATTATTTTATCATTATTTTTCCGTGTAATATTGTGTGTGTCGGCAACAGCTGTTTTAACCTCGAAAAAAAAAAACAGCAAATTATTGCAGATAAGAAAATAACAAATAGTAATGCGCACTCTATAGAAAAACACAAATAAACTATGAACTTATGGGCGCCTCTATGACGCAGTGATATATAAAAACTAATAGCAGGACTATATTTGTGCATATATTATTTATGTATTGCGTTGGATGTGCGAAATAATGATTAGAGGGCCGTACAGTGGACAAAATTGGAATTATCGCTGCGGATTTGCCGGTTCGATGTTAATATTGTTCTTGTTGTTTTCCCTGAAAAGTGTTTTTTTTCGAATATTTTGTCTTATATTCTGACACATACTCGCAGAGTTCTATGCAAGGCGCCAAAATTGTCTGTATAACGGTGCATACACACATTTTCGCGGGCGTAAAGTGTTGCATGCGCATCTGCAATGATGCACTTAAATTAACAGTTAGAAGGCACAGGCGTTGAACTTTGAGCGGTACTTTTCAGGGTTGCAGGAAGCGATCGCAGGGCTTAGAACTGCATCATATCGTTACAGTGATGGTTTTGAAATCGAACTTCCTATATACTCGTAAAGAGAAACTCCATCAACTAATATTATACACGTGTGTTTTTATAGAATTAACTTTGTTTTCGAAAATTTTACCTATAATCAAAATACAAATTGCAACCCTTTAGAATATTTTTAAAACATTTCCAGCACTGGCATTTAAACTTGTTTTCAATTAAGTAATATATGCCTTATGAATACATATATATGTATGTAAAAAAAATAATATTCTCCGGAATTAACTAATGATTCCCAGTTCCGATTGAATTCTGTTCGCTTTGTAGCCCTGATATGATTATAATACCGATATACTATATCCCTATTACAGTGACAGTGCACATAGGAGTGCAGAAACGGCAACGCGTCAGCAGAAATAAGTAATTGCAATTGCCGCAAGTCGCTTGCCAATCGATTATGCAGTAATGCTCAATGTCGATCTAATTTTTATCACTAAGTGGGCCCACACTTAATCGCACGAACAAAAAAACAATACAAGACAAACAGCACTGCAATTTCAGTTATTGCCTGAAAAACGTGAAAGGGGTAAGTGCAAATATAATTGAGCATTATCTAATTTTCTAGGGACCACATTTGCTAGTTCAATGTTATTAAAATTATGACTCACGATCCTAGAAGCAGATATGTATGCAGTTATTGCGTTGGATAAAAAGTCAATTTTTCAGATATTGAAAAACATTTCTTGGATTGTTTCTTCCATAAAATACTATTACTATACTATTCCATTGTTATTACTGATACTTTTCCTATGTTTATTTTTAAATACTTCAGTATGAAATCTTACTATCTCATTTTAACTTCCAGAGGCTAGTCTTTGCCAAGAGATTACTGGGGTGACTAATAGGTTAACAAGTGGTTCTATATAATCTACAGATATGTACATATATCTGTGATACACGATAACTAAGACATAGTGATTAAGGTATAGTGGTTTCTTTATTCGGATTCTTAGTTAGCTAAAAAGATTGCTTTCGAACTCTTCGGCTACTTTATGGGTTTGTGCTGTGAACTCAAGATACCACTATTATCACAGCAATTTACTCTTCACGAGAAATGCTAAATTGGCTAGTAGATTGTCCAATCAGTTGGCGATAGTACAGTGCTCCTTCTTTTATACCTGTCACATGTGAAAGTGTCAGGCGCCATTAACAACATTCGATGATTCATCATCACAGGTCCCAAATTAATCAGCAGGTGTGGAGGTCCTCGTGATGAATGGAGGTTTTATTGCTTTCGGTACATTCTGAGAAAAACTCAATATTAGAAATTCCCTTTCGTATTCGCCTAGTACATGCGTGAGCGTGTTTCCGTATTATTTCCCGAGATCGGTTGGCGGAATTTCCGATGATCCAGTTAAGTGGCAGCAAAAAATGTAATCCTTCGAGCCGGATTTGAACCAGCGACCTATGGATCTCTGCCTAGTTTTCGCATTTCAAATGCACCCATCTACAGTCCACCGCTCTACCAACTGAGCTATCGAAGGTTGTGTCATCATTTCTGCCCCGTCATCGTTCAATTTAAGATTTCTATATATTTTATGCCACATATATGCATTATATAGCTTACCTTTCACTTTTGTCAGTTCATGGAGCTTCGTGTTTATCAGCTCTTGTTTGGCTGCTCGGCCGCAGCCCTCAACGACCCCTTCGATAGCTCAGTTGGTAGAGCGGTGGACTGTAGATGGCAAATCGACGCAACAGCAGTGATCCATAGGTCGCTGGTTCAAATCCGGCTCGAAGGAAGTTTTTTTTGGCTCTCTCAAAAATGGTTAATTTTTGATTCTTAATATGCAATTACAAATTAAAGTGTATATTTATATATTGTTTGCCTTAACTTTGCTAGACAATTATTTTAAAGAGGAATACAAACATTTTGTATAGGAAATAATGTTGAAGATTTCTTTTTCAAAGTTTGTATTTTGTTGATCCTTATTATTTGTGTACACTGTACAGTGTGCTTTTAATTAGTAACAGTAGAGTATGTTTACATTTTTAAAATCGTAGTAGTTTTATTTAATTGGTAAATAATTATATTTCCCTTTGTAAATCTATTGTGCGTATCGCTTGCGTACTCCTCCAATGTCCTTTCAATGTTTAAGTTCATATATACCCGTCTATTCGGTGCAAAATGAGTACAATCCGTCCCTAACATTTATGGCACAGATGTTTGCCCGCCCAAGCGAAAGTAAAACGTGTTTGCACCCTGAAGCTGACAATATTAATTTAAGGCAGCAATGAAATCGTCGATGTCACAGTTACCTTTGAAATTGCTTTGCGATAAGGTTTGCAAGAAGAACAGGTGTTTGTCGGAATTTCTTTGATTTTAATCAAAGTTTTCACCAGCACGATTCTGTAGAATGTTACCAAAAAGTGGCGCTGTCTAGTCGGAATCTTCAAGGGTAAACCCATTGACCATCGTCACTTAAGATTCGCATAGTACAGACAAGTAGTTAACCCTAACTAACTGAAGTCATTCGCTCATTTCAGTGACTTCGGTACACCACAAAATCACATTCGATAAGAATGTTGCGACAGATAAAGACGAGGGCCACGCGTCCCGTATGAATCACCACTAGTTGCGGAATTTAATGGAGTATGAACCCCCAAGGGTTTCGAATTAGTCATAAAAACTTGAGAACAAATACTTCTAAACGTAAGATTATTTTTTTTCTTGCCATTTCGTTTTAAAAAGTTTAAATAATTTTCCGATATTATTCCTATAACGCGACAAACGTTATATTTAATTTTTATGGAACAGATAGAAGAAAGAATTCTCGAATATTCTCGAACTAGCCGAGTCGATTTTGAAATTGGTTAACGGACTGCTGGGTATCTGATAGTGGGACACTCTACTGTTAGGTTTCTTCTTTTCTACGATTTTAGGGATAATTTGGGCAGACGGAAGGACGGCTGAACGGTCGGGATCGCTTCCATCTACTTGTTACATACTTTTCATTAATACAATATACTCTTTTACATATATACTACGAAGTACACAATATGTTATTTAAACAAAAATATCCATTTAAAAACCGAAAAAACTCCTTAACCAATTATCTTTATTAGAAAGTTCTTAGATTGAAGTCAATGAACTAACAGTATTTTAACGTGCAATAAATGTTTATCTTTATGTGTAATGTCCATTAGCCGCGGACAATGATAAATTGTTCACAGAGCCCAAAGGTTTTGCGATATAAGCCTAATAAGCTTTACGTGACTTTAAATTATGTTATTGGGACAATTTAATAATCAATAAACTCATTATGATCAGACTCCTGTCTCAAAAGCTATGTAACATATTTTGTTTGTTTTAACTTAACCAATATTAAGAGCCATGACATCGAACACCGGGTACTCCATGAGTAATAGATCCACTCCCGACATTGGGCCTTAATGGGGCCCCAGACATCCCTGAATGCGTGAAAAAGCCAAAAATCGAAATCGGACATATGTCTGCTTGTACCGAGAGAGAGAGGGCTTATCATTTTTTAGCCAGGCCAAAACAATAAATGCTATTTGTTTTATTGGCCATCCATGTAGCTGCGCTAGATTGCGTTCTATTGATAAATAAGGAAAATTGCCCGGCGTTGCGATTCAGTTCGAAATAGTACGCTCGTCGAAACGGTCGAGTGTCCGCCGGAGTTCGCGAGTCCCTCAGGTTCCGAGTTCTAGTTTCCGCCCACTCATATATACCGATTGTTTTTTCTTTATTTGTTCTTGTGCCGTGGCTGTGTGACACATTTTGTTTGGCTAAGCTTCGGGTAAGTCCCGGTGCATGCAGGTGGAGATCCCGCGCCCATTTCCAACTGCTCAGCCCGCCCTCCGATTATCATATCGGTAGTAAAGCTGTCGCTGACGCTTTCTGGATTTATGTTTTATCTCTGTTTATTCCTGTGCCACACGGGTTTGTGTGTTAGTGTCTCTACGAGGGTGGTTCGCAAAGTCATTACCAAAATTGGAAAGCCAATCGATTATGGTGTAAACCATGGATCTAACAAAAAAGACAACGTCATGTTGAAAACAATACAATTCGTTGTCTCCAAAATATATAATAAATCATACAAATCTGCAATGAAACATCAGTTATGGTCCTATGGGCATTTATTGGGATTTCAAATTCCTTAAGACCTTAAGTACATCTAAAATAAACGCTTCATTTCTCACTTAAAATGCTTAAAATTCTTTATTATTTATCTTTAAAGTAGGATTCGAAGATAAATAAATGTTAATAATTTGTATTGTCAAGAAAAATGCTTTAGTTTGTAGCAGTCTATAGATTGACCCTAACGAAGCAACAGTACACATATAATATATGATATGCTCCATATCGTATTTAAGATGATTATAAGTCTGCCCTGAGATTAAAGCCCGACATCTATATAAAGCGAAAGATAACTATCGTAAATATTGTTGTAAATGGGCATTGAAAATGAAGATAATTCTTGGTTGTATCTTAAAGATATTCTCCATGTTCATCACAATATCGATAATATTTTGTTTAGCTAACATAGATGTATATTTTTTTCGTAAAGGCAATCCGTATTTTGCAAACTTCATAATGCATGCCCCATGAGAAGTTAAAGCTCAGAAAATTCATTCATAACTTTAATATTTTTATATCATATCCAAAAGTATCGGTTATTAACGCCAACTTTCAGATAAATCGTTGAATCGATATCATATTTCCGACATGAATAAAAGAACTTCGTCGGAAGCATTCGACTTATCGTATCGTGTGTATATACAACTTGATTTTGTGCGAATCATCCTTAGATCAGCAACTTTTTCCCATTGACGCCCAGACATCAAATGTTTATCAGAACCAGTTGCCAGACTCAGTTGTTCTCAGTTTGCCAGCTCATGTCAACTTCAGTTCCCAGTGGTTAACTACCAGCTGCCAATGAATCTCATTACAATTGTATAATTGTTTCTAGCCAAGTTCTGTGTTTGCTGGGAATCTAAACAAAGAAAGTTTCTGGGACTAACCCTCCTTAATTTTAGACACATGGAGTATCAGGCCATACTGAGATTAAAATACCAGACGATTTGAGTGCATTTGATAATGCAAACTGAAGTCGAAGCAATAAATGTGTATTTTCGGTTCCATAAAGTGACTACATTTATGATGGCCAACTAAAAGGGAACGAAGGTTATAATTACTTATAGAACGCCAAGCAAAGTCGTTAGAAAACTGATATGAAATCGAAGTATATGGTTTAAACGATAATTTATCGTATTTTAGGAACAGGAATATACAATTTATTTAAAGATTTTAACTGGATAAAGAAGTATTCCGTTTCTTTAAGGAGTTCCCGTAATTTTTCGTACACTTTATAGGCATATTAATTGTTAAAAGCTTTGCTAGCTGATAAACATTCTATTTGTTTATAGGGGCAATATGCACTCCGAAAGTTTCAATGATTTGGGGGGACGTACCGTGAAGTAGGCGTAACGATTGTGTTACAAGGGTTATGATTTATTTACGTTGGTTATTGCTTTTATTGGGCACAAGTTTAGCCTTATCAATCTAACATAACCGACGATGATTAGATAATTGAAATAACTTCATATAGCACCCATGGATCGATGGACGCACTTGACATTGCACATTTGATTATTGTTTATTTACCACGATAATTTGCACTCGTGCACGGGGTCAAAAAGCTTATCGGCGCAACATGTATTTCCGTAAAAATAAAAACATTGTTCAGATACTGAATGAATGCGTAGGCTATGACCTATGGAAGTAATAAAATTAAGTAAAACTCATGGTTTCGTATTATTTTTGGAGAATGCAAAAGTAATCATATTAGCGGTTAATTGTCTTTCCCATTTAGGGACATGCATACATATGTATATCCTTCGATATTGATTGTACTTTCACTTTCACTTTCACTTCACTTTCCCCTATGAATAACTGAACATAGCAATCGAGGTCGTCGAGAGTCAATAAAAAGTAGACTATTTGCCTATTTACAAATTCTCGGTTTTAATATCTAATCATTAACTTTTTCGAGGAAATCAATAACTCAATGTATCAAGTGTTTAATGTTTTATGACGTAACATATATTCTCTCTTTCTTACAGATCCTAATTTTAATCAATTTTAATGACGAGATAATCTAGAAAAAGCTTTAAGCCAATCGAACAAAGCTGCAAAATGGCGAAGGTGACAAACTGGGACAAGTTTGTGCTGCTTCTGTGGAAGAACTGGACTCTTCAATGGAACCACAAATGGCAGATGGTTATCGAGCTGGTGCTGCCGGCCATATTCTCCTTGCTCCTCGTTTTGGTCCGCACCCTGGTCGATACCGAGCAGCGGGGTATCAAGACATACAGTCCCCTGCCTATAACAGATCTCAGTTTGTTGCAGTGAGTTTTCCTTTCCCACACCATAATATATTCTATACCTGTCCTTTTTATTACCGCATTGCCTAAGTTTTCAGAGTTCTAGTTGTTGTATTTGGCTTTTTATGTTTTTGATTTTGTAGATACTTTTGATATATTCAGCTTCTACTTTCTTAGCTTTTTATATTTCTTTCTTTCTTTCTTTTTAAAAGTCACAATATTATGTGACAATATTACAAAACCTGATAATTTGATATTTATTTAAGTACTGCTGCTATTTATTATTAGTATTATTGTAATTATTATTATTATTATTAGTATAAAATTCGTGTGGTCGCCCAATTTAAACGCTTCAAAGCTGCTTACATTATTAGTTTTCTTTATTTGCTTTTGTGCAATATTATTTTTCCTTTCGACTACGCAGTTTTTTCTAATCACCCCTCTAGATTTTTGTTTTTTCAATATATGTAAATGTTTTTTGTCTTGTTCTGGCCACAAAACCTGAAGACATTCGTTACATAGATCGTCCTACCTTGGCAAGCTCATAGCGCTGATTGCACCTAATCGACGGAGGTAAACAAATCCAAAATAGAAAATTAAACAGAAAACACTACAACGTCTAACCAACTTGATTGGCCACCCTAACATAGCTTCTAATGAAATGCACCAATTCTGAGTGTCTCACTATGCACGCTTAAATAATAACTAACATTTATAACACAAAGCAGTATTTATTCCTAGGAGGGAAAGTAGAACTTGAAGGAATTTGAGACTTTATCCTAATGGAATTTTAAAAAAATAACAAAGATTCATCGCAGACTCATTACACAGTGTTCCTGCTTGAAACGTATCTAAGGTCTTCTTGTAATTAAGGTACACTGTAAAATCAAATTGAAATATCTCAAAAGATTAAATGGTTCTTCGGGGTGTTCTATTAAGAATTTGATACACATTGTTAGGGATTTCTTGGATTTCGACGAAAGCTTTAATCTCACTACACCTTCGACTAATATTAATCCATTAAAAAACGCACTTATATAAACTTATTTCGACCTTGTTTTAATATCTTTAATGTCTAAATAATGTGTGTAGGTCGAACAGCGGCATTAAAAATGTAGTGTTTACCGTGTGCTACTCCCCCGTAAACCCTGTGTTGAAGAAACTGGTGGAGGAGGCATGGCAAAGCCTGGGTATGACCGATATTTGCGAATCGGATAATGCCACCCAACTGGAAACGGATACGGTGAGGTTGAGCGCCTTTGCCGGAATCCAGTTCAACGATGCCTGGTCGAATCTAACTGAGGAGGAGGGCCTTCCTGACGATTTTCATTTCTCACTGAGATTCCCAGCGGAACTGAGAACGGCGACGATGGCGATAGCAAACACCTGGCTGACAATGCGCCTGTTTCCCACCATTGATCTGACAGGGCCAAGAAATGAAGCGGATGAAGATGGTGGCATTCCGCCGGGCTATTTACGAGAGGGATTCTTGCCCCTGCAACACAGCCTTTCGATGGCGTATATAAGACAAAGATCGGGGAGGCAGGATCTGCCGGAGGTGAAGTTGCAGCGTTATCCGTATCCCGCTTACATCTATGATCCCCTGCTCGAGGGCATGTCCTCGATTATGTCGCTGATCATACTGTTGAGCTTCATCTATCCATGCACGTATATCACCAAGGTAAGTGGCTATGCCGGGATCGTGGTTGATCTATGTACCTTCTCCACTCACGGCATTTCATTCACTTGTAGTACATCACCGCTGAAAAGGAGAAGCAGCTCAAGGAGGTAATGAAGATCATGGGACTGAGCAACTGGCTGCACTGGACCGCCTGGTTTGTAAAGTCCTTCATCATGTTGACCATATCGGCCATTCTGATTGCCATTCTGGTCAAGATCAATTGGACGGAGGACGTGGCCGTACTGACGCATGCGAATTTCACCGCCTTGGTCTTCTTCCTCATCATATACATCATAGCGAGTATCTGTTTCTGCTTCATGATGGCCACACTGTTCTCGAGAGCAAGCACAGCAGCCGCCGTTACGGGCTTAATATGGTTCATAGCCTACATTCCGTACTCCTTTACGATAAATACGTACGACGACTTAAGCCTGACTGCCAAGTTGGGCTGGAGCTTAATCTCGAACACGGCCATGGGCTTTGGCATCAAGCTGATCCTGGGCTTTGAGGGAACAGGCGAGGGTCTGCAGTGGAGCAACTTCTTCACGCCCGTCTCTGTTGATGACACTTTGACTGTGGGGGCCGTCATGATCATGATGCTGGTATCCTGCTTCATTTGCATGACAATCTGCTTGTATGTGGAGCAAGTGATGCCGGGCAGCTTTGGCGTGCCGCGACCCTGGAATTTCCCATTTACTCGGGAGTTTTGGTGCGGCGAACGGGAGTATACGGGAGTAGAGGACATACCCAATGGCCATGTGGAGCAGCGGGATCCCAAGGCCTTCGAAACAGAGCCGGAGGGCAAACACATCGGCCTGCAGATGAGGCATCTTAAAAAGCGCTTCGCCGACAAAATGGTCGTAAAGGGACTTTCGATGAATATGTTCGAAGATGAGATCACTGTCTTGCTGGGACACAACGGAGCTGGCAAAACCACCACCATATCTATGTTGACAGGAATGTTTCCCCCAACTAGCGGAACAGCTATTATAAATGGCAGTGACATCCGCACCAACATCGAAGGAGCCCGCATGTCCCTGGGCATCTGTCCCCAGCACAATGTTCTTTTCGATGAGATGAGCGTGTCGAATCACATTCGATTCTTCAGCCGAATGAAGGGACTGCGTGGCAAGGCCGTTGAGCAGGAGGTGGCCAAGTATCTGAAGATGATCGAGCTGGAGGACAAGGCGAATGTGGCCTCATCGAAACTCTCTGGAGGCATGAAGCGCAAACTGTCCGTTTGTTGTGCCCTCTGTGGTGACACAAAGGTGGTGCTGTGTGACGAGCCCAGCTCCGGAATGGATCCATCGGCCAGGCGGCAACTGTGGGACTTGCTGCAGCAGGAGAAGGTGGGTCGCACCCTCCTGCTGACCACTCATTTTATGGACGAGGCTGATGTTCTGGGTGACCGCATTGCCATTATGTGCGATGGTGAACTTAAGTGCCATGGTACGTCGTTTTTCCTAAAGAAACAGTATGGATCGGGGTACCGATTGGTAAGTATGGATAGGGATAAGTGTATCATCATCCTCATATACTTACGTGTTTTTCCGTTTAAGATCTGTGTAAAGCGAGATGACTGTGAGACGAATGAGGTGACGGCTTTGCTGAACAAGTACATTCCGGGCTTGAAGCCGGAGTGCGATATCGGTGCGGAACTGTCCTATCAGCTGCCGGATAGCGCCTCTTCCAAATTCGAGGAGATGTTCGGCCAACTAGAAGACCAGTCGGACGAACTCCATCTAAATGGCTATGGCGTGGGAATCACCTCAATGGAGGAAGTGTTCATGAAGGTCGGCGCTGAAAAGGACAGCACCGGCAACTTGAAGGACCAAAATGAGATTATGAATGGAGGCAGTGGATTCCGCGGCGAGGATGACAACGAATCTGTACAGTGTAAGCAGTGTTTGAACTCGATCTTGGATCTTGGACTCCTGATAAGCTCAATTAACTGTTTGCAGCCGACGGCATATTTTCGGAGAATCGAAGACTGCTCCAGGGAATGCAGCTGCTATCGAACCAATGGAAGGCGATGCTCCTCAAGAAGTTCCTCTACACGTGGCGCAACAAGTTGCTGCTTCTCATCCAGAATATTATGCCGGTATTCTTCGTGGTTGTAACCATTTTGATCATCGAGTCCCAGGGCACTTTCCAGGAGCTAAAGCCCATTACAATTTCATTGACTCAATATCCCTTGGCTGTGACAGTTTTAGATCGATCCAATGTGAGTGCGCTGGATGTGGCCGACAAGTACCAGGAGTTGGCTGAATCCTATGGCAGCAATTATGGTCTAGAACTAACTGGTACCAAGGGCTTTGAGGTAGGTTGGCTTGATTCGTTTTCCTTTCATTATTTTAACCATCAATATCTGAAATTTAGGATTACATTCTGGAACTGGGAAAGACGATCCAAGTGCGCATAAACGCACGCTATTTGGTTGCCGCAACTTTCCAAGAGTCTGAGATCATAGCCTGGCTGAATAATCAGGCCTTACACACTGCACCCCTGACAGTCAACATGGTGCACAACGCCATTGCCCGCCAAATAAGTCCATCGGTTAACATCCAGGTGACAAATGCACCACTGCCGTATACGACTAGCACACTGCTCTCCCAGCTGAGCATGGGCAACAATCTCGGAACGCAACTGGCCTCCAATCTGTGCTTCTGCATGTGCTTCGTTAGCTCCATATATATCCTGTTTTTGATCAAAGAGCGAGAGTCCAGGGCTAAGTTGCTGCAGTTCGTGGGCGGCGTTAAAGTGTGGACCTTCTGGTTGACCCAATTTATTTGCGATTTCGCCACCTATATCGTGACAGCTCTGATCGTGGTGATCACGATCGTTTGTTTCCAGGAGCCCGGGCTGTCAAGTTTCGGTGAACTCGGCAGATACTATTTGCTTCTCCTCCTTTTTGGTTTCGCCGTGTTACCCTTCATTTACATCATGTCGCTGTTCTTCAAGGAACCGGCCACTGGTTTTGCTCGGGTCTCCATTGTCAACATCTTTTGCGGCATGGCCCTGTTCGTTGTGGTAGTGGTGATGTCTTCGGAATTATTCGATACAAAGGATACGGCGGATATATTGGGCTGGATTTTCCGCGTCTTTCCACACTTCTCGCTGGCCATGGGTTTAAACAAGGTGTACACCAACACGGCCACGAGGAATGCCTGCGCAAAAGTCGGAGCGATCCCACCCATCTTGCTCTGCGAGTTGGTGCCCCAATGCTGTAGTGAGTATTTTGGATAGATTATGTTTTACTTTTCTAAATTTGATTAGCTTAATATCTATATATATAGTTTACTATAGTTTACTAAAATAATTCTTTATTTAAGACATCAAGCCCTACTTTGCTTGGGAAGAGCCCGGCGTTTTGCCCGAGACGGTCTATATGGCCGCCACCGGCGTTGTCTTCTTCCTTATCATCATCGTTCTGGAGTTCAGATTAATCAACGAACTGATATTCAAACTCCGTCAAATGCTATCGTAAGTTACTGCGACTTAGAATCGAAATCCCTTCTAACTTCATGTATCTTCCATACTTAGTAAACCACCGCCGCCACCAAGGGAAGGTCAATTGGATGACGACGTAGCTCACGAACGGGAGCGCATTCTTCACATGTCCTCGGACGAGTTGGCGGCCAAAAATTTGGTGCTAGATCGGGTTACCAAGTACTATGGCCAGTTCTTGGCTGTCAATCAGGTGTCTCTCTGCGTACAGGAGTAAGTTAAATGCTTATTTATTAAGCTACAGATTGTAACATTTTTATATTTCTTTGTGTTTGATACTTGTTTTTTGATTAGAGTTAATTTCTTAATGTATTTAATAAGTCAAACGCTGCATCTTGTTAATATGTAACATTGGCTCATGAAATTTATTTTACCATTTCTTCCATAGAGTCGAATGCTTTGGGCTGTTGGGCGTGAACGGTGCCGGCAAGACGACCACGTTTAAGATGATGACGGGCGACGAGCGGATCAGCTCGGGAGCCGCTTACGTCCAAGGTCTGAGCCTGGAGTCGAACATGAACAGCATTTACAAAATGATCGGCTACTGTCCGCAGTTTGATGCACTTTTGGACGATCTGACGGGTCGCGAGGTGCTTCGCATTTTCTGCATGCTGCGCGGTGTCCAGGAGTCTCGCATCCGTCAATTGTCTGAGGAGCTGGCCAAGTCCTTTGGCTTCATGAAGCACATCGATAAGCAAACGCACGCCTACAGTGGCGGCAACAAGCGAAAATTGAGTACGGCGATAGCTGTGATCGGAAGTCCGTCCGTTATTTACCTAGATGAACCCACAACCGGCATGGATCCAGCGGCCAGGCGTCAGTTATGGAATATGGTTTGCCGTATTCGTGACTCCGGTAAATCCATTGTCCTCACATCCCACAGTATGGAGGAGTGTGAAGCGCTATGCACGCGATTGGCTATTATGGTGAACGGGGAATTCAAATGCATTGGCTCCACGCAGCACCTGAAAAACAAGTTCTCCAAGGGCTTAATCCTTAAGATCAAAGTCCGTCGCAATTTCGCGGCGTTGCGACAGGCGCGTTTGAGTGGTGGATACGCGAGGAATCCTGATGAGCAGACGGTGCCGGCTCAAATGGCCCAGCAAGATATTGATGCTGTCAAGGAGTTTGTGGAGCACGAATATCCGAACTCCATTCTGCAGTGAGTATAATTTACCTAGTATTTTTTTTATATATTAAATATTTGTTTTTCAGAGAGGAGTACCAAGGCATTTTGACGTTCTACATTCCACTGACTGGGGTGAAGTGGTCTCGCATCTTCGGACTGATGGAGAGCAATCGCGACCAGCTAAATGTGGAGGACTATTCGGTCAGCCAGACGACGCTGGAGGAGATCTTCCTGGAGTTCGCCAAGTACCAGCGCGAGGATACACGCGCCAATCAGTGAGCTAGCCCCCAAAAAGACCCAAAACCGAGTTGATAACACCACCTGGCTTTTAACGGGCTTCTCGCTTATTGGCCTCATCTTCTACCTGTCGCATCACATTGCATTGCCAGCACCAACACAAAACGAGCCCTGCAGCACCGCCAAAGCATTCTATTTCCCATACACACAGCACCCGGAATAACCCATCTGTCATATTATGAATTTTGTTAAATGATTTTTGTTTGTAGTTTTTAGCTAACACCACTAACTCTAACGCTACCGCTAACGCCCTTCGATCGATACAAGCTAACTCTGTTGCATGCGTATATACCTAGGGGAGCTAACAGTAGCCTACTAACTAACCCTTAATTTGCTTCCCGAGCTAATGTTAACCGTGTTGTGTCTGTTCTTTCTACTCCCTTCTGAAACGTTTCCCCACAATATCTAGCCGCCTCTCCAAATTGAGAAAGTTGTGCAAGTGCCTGCTAGCTAATGAGTATTGAACCAACTACCTGAAGGATTTGATCCACACTAATTCGATCCGATCCTGACCTGATCTTAAACACTCACAGATAATAATGTTACCAAAAGAACGACGATGCCTGAACAGCTAACAAATAGTTTGTAAGCTCGACCTGACAATAGATAGCAGCTATTATGCCTTCTTTTCATTGTGATCATCTAGCGAAATTTTACACAGCAACAAAGAGATCTATAAAATGTATGTTTGGTATATATATATAATGTAACATATATGTATAGTTATATCTGCTTCACATGCACGATAAGTTCTTTTAGACTTTTCTTATATTTTTGTTTTTGCCCAAAAAAAGTATTGGCCAGAGAATTGGCCGGAAACTATTCCCAGCGCCCAAAGAAAACTTGTTGCATATAGTAATATGTGTATTTATTTCGATGTACTTAGATCGGCTAACCAAAGCGTGTAAATAAGTCAATTTACTATAACTGTGGCACAAACCCTACGATACATATGAGAATTTACAAATTATGTTAAATGTCTACTATACGATTGAATTAAATTTTATCTGTATGTAAAACACTGTCGTAATAGTATTTAAAAGGGGTTATGAAACGGGTTTAACACTCAATATTGTTTAACATTCGACTTGGAAACTAAAAAGTTAATGCTGCCCATAACGTTTACTTATGGATAGTCGTTATGCTGATCAATGGTAAATATCTGAAGGCCTATGCGCATGTTGCGCGTTATAAAATAGTCTTCGATGTTCATTTCGAAGGCATCTTTCCGCAGTGTAAGAAATATCTCCGAGAATGTTGTGGTGCCCACGGGCAGTTGGAACACCATCGAGTCTTCCTTCTCAATTCTAAGAAATGAAACATAATCTATAGTTATTCTTCCTTTTAAGAACTCATATACTCAACTCACTTGAGCACGGCCTCGGGGAACTTGATCTCCATAAAGGCGCTGAATTTCTTATTCGGTGACATGGGAAAGTGATTGATAAGATTCCAGGTGGCCCGTGACATACTGACATTGGGATTAACTTTTCGCTTGAATCGGATCTCCAGCTGATATCCGTCCTTGTAGTTCTCGTTTTGTCCATCCATCGATCCGAGCATCCAAAGGTGGCCCTCCAAGAGAATTGGTGTTCGCTGGCACAATCGCTCACCATCCAGATTTGTGAGCATGGTGTACAGGAAGCTGGAGCCCATCTCTTGCATAGTGGATGTCATCATCAGAATGATTCGCTTGCCAGTGGGATCTAGTCCACATGGTACACCGTCCACACAGATTAACTCGGGAGATCCCAATACGGCGTAGGCGAAGTATAACCGTCGGATTTGACCTGTAGTACACATGCTAACTGATCGATTCCAACATGGAGTTAAGCCCATCAACCGTAGCAGCGATTCCGACATTTCCCGGCCAATCTGGTCCCTGTGTCCCTGGAGCAAGGCGTGAATGTAGAGAAGTTCCCGCGGGGTGAACTCCGCCGGAAGATTGTCCCTCTGCGGGCAGTAGCCAACCATCTGGTAGCATTTGATTCGATGACGCCGCATCGAGTAGCCATTGATCCAAATCTGGCCACTCGACATCTTCTTCTCGTTCACCAACAGCTTTAACAGAGTCGACTTGCCGGAGTTGTTCGCTCCCGAGATACTCACGCACTCGGATCTGGGCACAGCATATAAAATTGTTTCAGTGCGATTTATATTTAAATAATACTCACTTGGCCACAGAGAAGTCCACGCCATTAAGCACTCGGTTTCGTCGATAATTGGCGACAACCCCAATCCCAACAGCGGCGAACTTGTTGCGCTCCGCTTCCGTCATATTGCTGGCCTGGTATCTTTGCATACGAAACGTAGAATCTTGGGACATTTGGCCAGGGACCGACCTGCCTTCCTGATTCTCATCCGTCTGAACAGCAGCCTTCTTAGACGCGCAGAACTCTCGAAATCCCACTATCGAATAATACTCTATGGCAATCAGCAGGACCCCAAGTACAATAATGAGAGCCGCCAGCAGAATAAGTTCGTGGCCAACGCCCGTGCCGGGAGTAGTATAGTTCGAGTTTGCTATAAATTTTAAATGAAAATTGTTTTAAGATTTTTATATTAGCAAAAGATAAGTAGAAAGAAAATAAAAAATGACCTTAAAGGAATGTTAAATTAAATTAAATATTAATGAAATTTTTAAATACATCTTTTAAGTTTTCAGAAATATTTTCTTTCGAGTGTACTTTATAAAACCGTGCTCAACTGCAGCAATTGGGAATAGTCTTGCACTCGTAGACCTCGACTGAGGTGAAGTTCACAAAGGGATCCATGCAGATCAGCTTGTATTCGTCGATCGCAAAGAGCTTGCATATCACCACGGCCATAGTGTACATAACCAAAAAGCTCGGCTCGGGACCCATATTGTCGAAACCATTTCTATAGACTTGCGAGAAGTAGACGAGACCCAAGCTGTTTATCCAGCACAGAAATAAGAATCCATAGCACGGGTTCCGACACAGGCCCGATATCAAATATGCGAGCAGGTTCACCCAGAGTCCGGCCAGCAACACAGTAATTGCCACAAAGACTGCGGATAACAATAAGTTTTATCGAAAATAGAAATAAAAATGGTGGAAATAAATGGCATTTCATCAATAGTTCCATTTTCATGATTAAAGGGTTTAGTAAAGATCATGAGAGAGATCATGAGTGAAAACACTTAGAAAATATGGTATAAACTAAGAAAAATCACCGTATAGCTCAATATCGTGGTTGGGGTCCTTGTAGACGACCGCCATAACCACAACCATTACGCACAGGATCAGCAGAAAGATGAGATCATACAGCACCGTGAAGATCCAGTAGCTGCAACATCTTGCTCCGGCCAAAAACTGTTGCTTTTTCAATAGGCTACCGCGCTCCTTGATCATAAAAATCGCAAAGGCCGGCCAAATAAAGGTCAGCACGAAGGCAATAGCAAAGGCCAAGCAGCCGCCAAAGGAATGATTGCTCGGCGGAAAGGTGTTGATGCTGGTCTGGAACGGCAACGGAGCCAGGGTAACATCAATGGTGGCTTCCTCATCAAACAAGTGCCTGCGTTAGAACAGGCCCAAAGCAGGGCCCAATTTATCAAAGTAATCAAGGTAAAACTTATTTTAAAAAATTTAATGTATACAAAACCCACCTGGCCACTGCATTGTGGACAATATTGAGGGCATAGGGCGCTGCGTGCAATGGTATATTATTGAACCAGGCGGTGACGATCTGCTGGTCAAAAGTTGCACCAAATATGAAGCGAGAGTTGACGTGGCTGGTAAATTCGCTTTGAGTCAACAGGGTGTACGTATTATGTCTATTCCTCGTCACGGTCGCCACATGAGCATCGTACCAATAGAGCAATTCTGTGTAATAGGCATGCATATCCTTGACGTCCTCTTCCTCGGAGAAGAGCTCCACGAAGGCATCGACGGTGTGCAGTTGGCTGAGGTTAAAGGTCAGCGGCTCCAACTCATACTGCTTGCCAAAGACAAAAATGCTGGAGAAGCAGCATACTGCTACCAGGGCAGTGGCCAATAACTCGAAAACCAAAACGATCCAATGACGGGTGGACGAGATCCAACGTTTGTATAACACCGCCCTACATTAGGGCATTAGGGTTATTAGGGTATTAACGCTGGAAAAAACATTAGTCGCAAATCGATTCTCGTCGAGTGCCTATCTGCTAAAATCGATTAAAATATTTTTAATTAAGAGTTTTGGAGTTTTTCATATAGTCGTAAAAAAATTGTAATATTTGAACGTTAGTCATATATCGTTTTGCCCGATTAATCGAGTTTATCCGATATATCGTGCTTATGTCCTTTTCTACGATAGTTGCGTAAATTCGATTAGGGTATTAGAACTGGCGCAAGCTTTCGATTATCGAATATACCAATGGTCGATTACCCACTATCGTAGATATCCCACAAGCCAAAAATACACTATAAGGAACTATGTCCAAAACGTTATATTAGATAGACTGAATGACTCCTAATATTGTACAAATTCAATTACTATTTCTTGACATAACTGTTTGCGACTAGCGTATTTCTCTGCACTTACCTGGCATGCAACATATTCAATTTCCACCCAGTCCTTCGACCCTTTTCATTGGCCTCCGCCAAGATGGCATAGTACTCCTCGAGCAGGATTTGGGTATTCTCGTGCGACTGAAAAGCGCCGCTCTGGTCGTTCTCCTCGCAACCAAAACGCAGAAAGATCTCCTCCATCGAGGTGTCCCTGATACGGAAACTGACCACTCCCAGTTGCTTCATATTTTGCTCCAGTTCATCGAGCAGCAACGGAAACTGATCCTCATACTTGTTCTCCAGCACGAATGTTATCTTGTAGCCAATGTCCCTCTCGATGCCAATATTGGGCATATAGCTAGTCAGCAGGCGGTACAGGTCTTCCGTCTTGTAGTTATCGCCCTTTACGCAGGTCTAAAGGAAAAAAAAATGTAGAATGCACATTTGTTAGCTTACCTTTAAGCTTTAAAGTTTAAATAAATATATTTAACATATTAACAATGGATTTCTTACCAATCGATAGCCGTGTCCGTACATATTTTTCAAGAAGGGTTTCGTTCCGGTACACTTGAGTTCCCCATTAGACATAATGGCCATACGGTCGGCAATATTTTCAGCTAGTGCTGGGGAATTGGAGACCAGGATAATGGTGCGCTTGGACTTCTCCTCGTTGATAAGATTCCAGACCAGCGCCTGTGTGTGCTTGTCAAGATCCGAGTGTATGTCGTCTATCAGGATTATGGGACTATTCCCCACGAAGGCACAGCAAATGCTAACCAAGCACAACTCACGGCCAGCGAGCTTACGGATTCGTGTCGTCTTAATATCTCCTATTTGCAAGACGTTAAGAAAATAATTTGCCTGCCCCTCGATTTCGATCTTATTATGCAGACCCTTCACACGGCAAATGAATCGCAAATAATCGATGACAGTTAGGCCGGTCAAGAGCATTTCATTACCAAATGCGATGCCCAGTTCCATCGAGGCCGCCTTCCTTTCAGTTTGTATGTTGTAGCTGGATATCATCACAGTGCCCCGACTGGGCTCCACCAAGCCGGCCACTATCTTAAGCAGGGTACTCTTGCCACAGCCATTGTGCCCCATCAGTACGGTGACCTCGTTCTCGTACACATTCCACGAGAAAAGGTTCAACGCCGGCCGATCGTTGGCCGCAAAGCGTTTGCATAGCTTCTTGATCTTCAGTTTGAAACGCCGGTGGGAGGGTTCCACTTCATAGATTTTTGTGGAATTGACCCCAATGGCCTGACCCTGGTGTGTAAAGCTATCCGCCCGTTCGTTATACGGATCATCGTGCACACTGTTGGCATTCGCGTTTGGCTTTTTCATCCTCTTACCGGATCGGTCACGGCCATGCCACATGTCCACATACAGACCAATAACACAGTAAATCAAAGAGTCCAGCATTAAGATCCAGGTGCTAGAGGTTACCGTAATGGTAGCACTTGGATCGCTGAGGCTATAGCCAAAATCTTGCCACGCAACATGGACAATTGATTCCCGTTCAATCAGAAACTCGAATACGAGAGTTACGACCACATTCGGTAATGCAAACACCGCGTAGCGCATGGCCAGGATATTTCCTTCCTTGCCATTCCATAGAATGAAGGCGGGCACATAGGTCATTATCCAAAGGGTCGTCAACACCCGAACTGCGTTGATCGCATTCCGAAAAAACGCTGCCACCATAATCGCAAAGGCAATTGACGCCGAGTTGTAGCAGAATAGCACTATGATCAGCACGTACCATGGTGTTTGAGTCAGCACACTGTGCTCGTGGGCCCACCGTATCTGTTGGTTATAAATGTATCATCGTTGAGAAAATAAATATTGCTTTACTGGTTGCTACATAATCGGAAATAACCCCCGAACATTGAAGAAGTTTAGAACAAGAAGGAACGTTATAGTCCAGTGCCGCGACTATCAGATATCCCCTACTTTGTTATCAAATTTCAAAGTAAATATGCTTAATGGTAGAATGAAGCTTTTCCGACCTTTTAGCAATTGATCAGGCCAATACCTGACTCCGTTTCACCATGTGCGTCTGTCAGATATCAGAAGCTAAAAAGCTTTGATTAAGCATGTAAATTCAAGAAAGTCTTGAAAAGCCTTGAAAAGCTATTGAGTCTAAAATATTAATGTTTAACGTTTGGGTTGAGTATAAATATTTTTGCTTGGAAATACCAATCGATCTTTAAAGTATCATTTAGTTCAGACCAGTCTTGTGTTGATTTTAATGTTGTTTAGCAGATTTATGAGTATCTGTTAGTCGCGGCACTCGACTATTGAGTTTCTTGTTATTTGCTATTTGCCTTGAGGTCTTTAAGTGAAGATGTGCGAACAAGTAGGCAATTGCTCATTAATAATATGAAGAAACGAGAGGAAATGCTATAGTCGAGTGCAGCGACTATAAAATACCCGTAACTCTTTTATGCAATTTTAAAATATTCATTTTGCTAGTGGAAATTCACAAAGCGCCACCTATTGACAGATAAAGCATGTTGAATAACTGATAGTGACGTCACTGACCATGTGACCCTTATAATATAAATTTCTTCATAAATAGCGAATTAGTGTTCCGTTTGACAAAAATATGTATATTATACAAGGTCAAACAAAGACATACACTATAGCGCCACAGTTTTTCGCGGTTTATGGGCGTGGTCGGCGTGGTGGCAAGTTGCAGTGGCACCCCCAAAATACGTATTCTCAAGCACAACTCTCTAGCTCTTATAGTTCCCGAGATTTTTGCATTTTTGGTTTTCCGGGTTTTGTGGGCGTTGGAGTGGGCATGGCTAGATGGGAAAGAACAATTCGAATTTGGGGCATCATAAAATAAATGAATCCGAACTTTCTATCGCTTATAGTTACCGAGATATCAGATTTTCTACAAAAAGCGAAAACCGTCTATTGAGCTTGGTGGGCGTATGGGTGGGTCTGGCCGGATAATAGTACCACTATAAGCTGGAAACTATAAGAGCTACAAGGTTGTGCTTAAGAATACTGTAATATGCACTCATACTGAATACCCACTGTACCGAGAGTACTTAAAGGGTACACACTGTAACACTTTGTATTATGAGATATCACTGCAACTTGCCACGAGGTTTCACCGCGGAATACTGTGGCGTCTATAATATTATTATGAATGGCCTCGTTTGACCCTGTATAATTGGAATTGGAACATTATTTCGCTATTTATGAAGAGATTTAGGATATAAGGCCTCACATGGCTTGTGACATCACTATCAATTACTCAACATGAAGCATGTCTGACAATAGGTGTCGCCTTGTGAGTTTCCACTAGCAAAATGAATATTTTAAAATTGTGTAAAACAGTAACGGGTATCTTATAGTCGCGGCACTCGACTATATCGTTTCCTCTTGTTTAATTATGAATTATAATGTTCCTTCTAACAAAATTGGTTCTAGGAAATTCTTTCAAAAAGTCTTACCACATTTAAAAATAAAAATAAAAATAAATATATTAAAAAATGTAAATTTTATGTTTTTGTATATAACAAAATTACCCCGTAATTTTAGTTTCGTTTTACTTTTATAGATTACGAAACGTTTTGATCAGTCAGTGTTATCGGGTCTTAAATTGCTTTGCAGTTTTTAGATTGAGAACAAGATACCGTGTTCAGAAATGAATAATTTATAAATCCTACCTTTAGGGTCACCGTTATGATTAGCGAGCTGATCATCATGTATACCATGCCCTTGAGATACCACGAAACAAAGTGAATGAGATTGCCAATGTTCATGTTGATCAGAAACTGGCGAACTTGCGTCTGTTTCTCAGTCACCACCTGCTGGAAAAGTAAAAGGATAAGTGGATAAAAACTTTGAGGGCAGGGATTTGAGATCCCTGGCTTACCCAGACGAACAGCTGAGCGGGGAAAAGGAACCCGATAACGATTAGCAGGGGCAAGCCATAGGTAAGATTGTTCATCAGGGGATCCTGTTTGCGCCCGGTGACGGGAAAGCGCCTGACCTGAATAAGCGGCAAGGACTTATGGCTGGTTAGGGCCAGGAAGGACTCGCTGACGGCCTTCTGCAGTTGGATGAAGCCCTCGCGAACGTAGCCCACGAATCCGCCTTCATACGGCTGGTTAAGTCGTAACAGAACATAGGTGTAAGGATCGTCATTGTACAGAGTCATCCAGTTGGCCATCCGAAAGTCACCGTCCAGTATCCTCAGCTCGCTGGGCAGAAGGATCGTGTAGTTGAGTACCGGCTGGATGGTCTCATAGCTCTCCAAAGTGTCCTCCTCAAAGGATTGCCCCTCCGGGAATGGAGTCGCATCGAAACAGATGCCCGCAAACAGGCTGTTCTCGATTATCGATTCCTTGAGATTGTGGCAATCCTCGAAACCTATCGTGGTCATTGGGTCCACTTGCTTCTGGACCCTGCGCATCATTGACCTAAAGATACTATAGCTCTTCGGTGCCCAGCCGATGATCAGATGCGGTGTAAACGGATTCCCTTTTACATTGTGTTCGTCGGCCAATTTATGCGCCCTCTCCAGTTTCTCCGCCATTTGCATCCAGCTCCGATCCAGATCGATTGGATCGTACACCTTGTCGGATCGGGGATCCAGTGCTATAATGAACCGCATTATCACCGCCAAAACGGTGAACAATGGAGGCAATAGCACTATGACCAGTAGCTCCAAAGGATTGGCCATCTGTAGTTTGTGGTTCTTCCAGTTCATCAGGACGAACTTGCGGATGTAGGTGCGCACCGTCATCGTTTAAGATTTTGAGAGATGGGTTTCGCTTCCATAAATTTTACGTTTGCCTATAATGCCAAGAGGCTACTGTGTTTACTGGATGCATATTTTCATATTTTACAAATATTTTTAGGTGCTTCGGTGCAAAGTATCGAATATGCATTTCTTGATTTTCCTGGAGAGTGGCACTATACATTATGATCTCTATCAACTTGGATACTTTCATTTCTTTTACTTTCCTTCCCGTTCGATAGTCCGAATCCTTCTTTGTGGTTCGATTTTCAGCGACTATTTTCATATCCGCTCTTTTTCAGCTCCTTTGGCTGGTCATCTTTGGCTCGTGTGCCCTCCTTTATATATTTTGTGTAGGACGATAGATATATCGTGTCAGTCGCATGTTGATTTTTGGCAACATGCAGGCGTATTTATTTATCCTTTGGCATAACATTTTTATTGCATTCTAAAGCAAACAAATGACAATAAAAGCTTTTACGTACATACATACATATATTCCTCCGAATAGGAAAGCGAGAGAGTGGGCATTAAAATGACACGAGGGTGCTCAAAAAAACGAAAATGAAAAGCCGAAAAAATAGTTCTAAAAATGAAGACGGAAGCGTGGGAGGCGCAAAAGGGCGATGACAGTGTGCGAGTATGATCAGGACATTTTGAAGTTTTATTCCTAGTAAACTTGCAGTTTGGATGGATATAGTTTAAATAAATCATGTCTTTAACAATTTTTAAATTTTAAATTCTATGAAATGTATACTCTTGCCTTGGTGGTAGTAAAAGGTTACCTTGAATATTACATTTTACACCAAATACAATTAGATGTTTAATTTTATTTAAAATTAGTCTTACTCAAAAATAATTTTTCGGCTAGAACGTACATATGTACATACCTAGCTCGTGGGCTCAGTTCAGCTCAAACAGCTTGTAGCCGGTCCTTAAGCGCTTTTCGGCGTCGTTTCCATTTCATTCGGGTCTCACATTCAATTGCATTTATTGACTGAAGAAATATTTTATTACTTTACGCTTGGCAAATATTAGTGGCCCATCGTCAATGGCGGGAATCCCCTCCTTTTTTATGGAAGAAGGACTTACAGCGAATTTGCTGTCATTGACGCAGGCAGCAAAATGAAACGATGATGCTGGCCCTGTCCTGTCTTGGCTAATATATCCGGCCTGGTTCCCACCTCCCTTGACGTCCTTCAACCCTCTTCTTCGCACTCTCTCACTTTGATTTCTTGGCAAAGCTTTTTTACTCATCTCGTACACTCGAAGAAAGGTCGTAACTGCTAGAACTGTACTAAACATCTATGCCTACGGGGGTATTTGGAGCTCTCAGTAGATTTCTCTACGCCCAGCCAAAAATATTATATATAATACATATATGTAGATTGTCTTATAACATAGTTTAACAATTTTAAAATTTTTTTTGTATACCTCTGATTTCTAAATAAAATTTATAACGAGCATATCTTGAGATAATGTTTTCAGTCTCTTAGCATAAGGTTAATATTTTTCGGCAGAATTTACCCAAAAATAGGATTCTTATCTACAAATAACCCAGATGGTTCATACCAATGCAGTGTGTAATACTGACAAGAATTCTTAACTTCAAGGAGTTCAAGGTGGCTTTGGAGTTTTTTGTTCAGTGTACATTTTTTCTATGTTTTTTTTTTTAGGACTCGACGAACTTTGGCAAATATTTTGGTCATAGCCGAGATTTGCGTGCCTTGCCAATGGTTTTGTTTGTTCTGCTGTGTCCAGTCATCTGCCCTTCCCCCTGCCCAAGCCCCTTTTATCTTCCCTCTCGCTCCCTCCTGGAGGGTCTCCCCTCTCGCTCACTCGCCAGCCGAATGTGGGTAATTCGGTCATGAATATGCGAACAATTTCAGCCATTGTCCGAGAAGCATTTTTTGGGTGCGCATATTTGTCGCAAATGGACTACATTACAACATTACAGTTATCTTTTGATATGTGATAGTGTGTTTGTTTGTGTGTGTGTGACGTACATAATATCTCATAGAGGACATTACGGCCCAAAAGTCTAAATAAAGAAAGCCAGAAAAATATCGCATAAAATAAGTGTCATTTAGGGTGGACTTAGAAACGAAAGGAAAACTGACTTCCTAAACTTGTCATTTGATTTCAAATAATGTAACTCTTTATTAAGCAAATTATGCAAAAATTATAAAATTCTAAAAAATATTTGTATGTCAACATACTTTTTTAGTTCAACGTTGATTTTTCTGAAATTAAAGACAATCAATAATTAGACATTTAAGTAATTGCAACGTCTTCAAGTCTGTTCTATTTTTTTCTAGCTTATTCTTGCTTTAAAGATTTTCTTATAAAATTCACAGCGTGACCTTAAATTTAAGGAACAATTGAAGTCCACCCCGGGGCACTTCCATGAATGTTTTGTGTGCATAAACAAACAAACAAAGGCCGCATAACATTAAAATGTAACACAAAAAGCGACAACAACAGCAGCAATAACCACGGCTCATGTTTTGTGTTGTGTGATTAAAATTAAAATAAGCGGCGACATGTTGAACTTGAAAAATTCGTTGTGCGTTGCTTATGACAACAACAAGCAGAGTAATCATAATAGTAACAATAAGACAAGCATTAAAAGCTACAAGGATGGATGTGTCGAGTCTTGAATACCCTACCCTAACTGATTTGAATACATACATATGTACATAAGCCATTAAATAGTATTAAGTTGTTTAAACTTTCACGTTAGCATATCATTCAAAATAAAAAATATATTTTAGAAAAGTTGTAAAAATTGATGTTATTAGAAAGCAGAAGTTTTTAAAGTTTCAAATTCTTTTACAGGGTATCAACTTAAAAGCACATGCCAATAAATGCACCAAGCAGTCAGTGGGATTGAGTGGGCGTAAGAGGGATACAACACTAATAGCCCTACTAATGACCGAATAACTCATCTGGCTTAGAAAAATCTCTGTCCCATAAACGATTACCAATTAAAATCGCTGCGCAGCTAACTTTCTTCTAACTGGCATTTCTGCTGCTTCTTCTTTATTGCTAACTGCCCTTCTTCTTTCTTCGGCGTGAGTAAGTGCCGTTAGCGGTAAAATCGCACGGTACTTAGGGGTGTGATGTGTTCGCATTTGTTTTTATTTATTTAGCCACTGACTTAAAGTAAATAACTTAATGTTGTGAAATTTGTGAGATTTAAAAACTGTGGCGATTTCGTTTACACTCTCGATAAACTATTTAATGGGCTCTTAGTTTTACCTTGAAAATCTAGAGAATTTTTTAATTTCTTTTGGAAGCTGAAGCTTTAAAACTCTGTTGTTTCTTGCCGTAAGTTAAGAGTAATTTTCTCTCGGATCGCTTTTACATCTGTTAGGCTAATGTGATTTGGTCAACCATTTATTTTTCGGTGACCTAACCAATACCACCACCACCTGGGAAGTGTACGGTATTTGGAAACGTTGCACTTGCCGCTTGCAAAACAAACACGCACACACTCGCGCGACAAAAAATCAAAACAACAAAATCCACGATGGAAACAGCTGCTTTGGCTTGGCATTGAAATCGAGAGAGTAGGACGGTAGAGGGAGCGGGAGCTGTGGCGGTGGTAAGGGAAAGAGAGCGATGATGCGGGCACGAAGGCCAATTTGCCGAAGATGCCCGAGTCGCCATGAACCGTTGGACGTGGAGCCGAACCGGTTTTTGGCGCTACATTGGCGCTGCGTTGGCGCTACATTGGCGCTCAGTGCAAAACGAAGCACTGAAGGTGTCAGTTGAGCTCCCGGCGGTTCCTCTTTCTAGCTTACACAGACAACTCAACTCTCAGCGATTTTGACGCAAATTTTAAACGTACGTAAACCGGTGATTTCATACAAAACGCGTTTCGAATCAAAACGAGAAGAACATCGTAAAGAAATACAATAAACTTACGAACAAAATTACAAATAAACCTTAAACACAATTAAAGTGCTAATCATTTGGGATTTTTTCTCACAACTTGAATATTTTTTTAATTGTGTTGTTTTTTTTTTCGTTTGTGTGCCATTAAATCATCTTTCCAGCGAAAAAGTGCTAAAAACAAAGTGAATCCAATCTGAGTCGCTGCCGTTGTTGCCATTGTTGTTGTGTCCAATTAAAACCTATTTTGCATATAGATTTTTTTCGAGTGTGTGAGACCGCATTGATCGTGATCGTGATCGTCATCTCCGCTTTTTGCCTTTTCTCATTAGTTTCCCTCTCCGGGTAATTAGCAATTCGAATGTTGTTTTTGCAGCTGATTTAATTGATTGATTCCAATTCCAAAAATAAAGTGCCAAGTGCATAACTAAATTCAGGAAACGCTTCTCATTTAAATATTCCTTTTATCTGGTAGCTCATTTTGGGATTCCAAAAATGTCATTGATCTTATTGGAAGAAAAGTCGGTTAGGCCCTCTTAAAGAAGAATTATAAATATCTAAAGCTAAAAACTAAAAGAGCTTTAAGTTATAAAGTCAAATAGTTTGGTTTGATGGCCTTTCTCAATGTCAAACTGGAAATATAATGTTTTGAATATTGAAACTGCTTTAATTTTTCTTTAAATATTTATTTAGTTCATTAAAAATAAATAACCAATTTCCATTTAGTAAATTATTTTACATATAATTAAGGAAGAGTGTTCACATTTTAAGAAAAAGTCAAAAATGATTTGGGCGAATTTTCAAATGTAAAACTAAAATCTTAAATTCAGAATCTAATCAGCTTCCTAATTAAAGGAACTAAAAGCCACAGAGACTTAGTAATTCCATAGACTTAGAAAAACTTAAAAACATATTGCAAGCCCAAACTCTTTAATGTAAAAGCCAAGCTTAAATGGGGACATAATTGGAATGATCAGTGTTGAGTGTTCCACTTTGTCGAGCAATTTCCTTTGAGGTTCTCTGTGTTTGTTGTTGTTGTTGTTTTTGAATGTTTTTAGGCCGAGTCGTGTAACGTCATCTAATATACATGGCTAATAATGCCTTTTCTTACGCCTCCGAAAGCGAAGGGGGCATACCCCCGCCATAGCCCCTGCCCCTTAAACCACCCACATATCGCGTCTTGTTCGGCGAACTATAAACATTAAATAACAATAATAAACAGCAACAAGAGCCGGGCAGAAAGTTGAAGCAGTTTGTCTAAGTGGCTTGGGGCTTTGTCAAAGCATATAAAATATAATACAATAGAAAGTATATGGAAGCCGCAACAATAACAAAAACAACAACAACAACAACAACAGCAACAATGGCAACGAGTACGTAGCAGTTGTTGGCTCCAAAACACGCAACAGTCCGTCAGAATAAAGTCAGCCCTGCCCACCGTCGCACCGCTGTTTTAGACCCCTTTGCATCCCCCAGAATATATATATATATATATATAAATATATGCCCCTATATATATATATATATTCCCCTCCAGTAACATCGCGTGTTCCGGGGGCCCCAGCATGAAGGACTCTCGCCGGGGATCGGGGGACGGCAAAGGGCTTCTAACAGCAAGGGTTCCAAAGGCTCCCAATCTCCGCTTTACACAGCGCAAAAATATGACAAAGTCTGTAGTTGAGTTTTCAGAATATAGTTTATCATTTCTCAGAGTGAAAAGTCTTGGAGATTTCACTTTTCCCATACATAACATTCAAATTGAATGGAATTTTCCATCAAGCCACTTTGAAGATACGAAAAGTTGCCTCGCTTTCGCTCAGTGTAGACTCAAGCACTCGTACTTAGAAGCCTATACCACATAGAGTACAATTTTTTCTATAACAAAATTTTCTATATTTTTTTCAACATATTTTTTGTGTTTCATTCTTTATGTTATTTTTTTCGCCACTGCCACCGCTGTGCAACGCTCCCGTTCCCGTTCCCGTTGCCGTTGCCGTTCTGGATCCCGTACTCTTGCTTGCAACCGGAGAGTAGGTCAGGTCAGTATGTGTTACTATTTAGCCATAAGGGGGAGGGGGTTCCGGGCACCCGACTGCCCCCCGCGTGTGCGGCAGGCTTATTAATTTACTGCGACTTTTGTTTCGCTCCATTTCAGTCGCTGGCAAGTCGGAAAAGTCTTGTGGCTCCCGACAAATCAATCGGGGGAAACTTAAGGGAAACTGATTGAAATGCGGCAGGGGAAACGGCTTTGACACCCGCTAAGGATAACATATTTATTTAGCTTTATTCGGGGCTTAAAAAGTAGAAGAAATTTTAAAAAATATTAATTACTTTTTAGCAGAAAGTTTGGAACTGGGAAAGAACATTTCCATTGCGGTGGTTTTAGGGGGGAAATCTTGTCTTGAGTCATACCAACATACTATTTAATATTTCTCTATTTATTTCTCTATTAAAAGCATTTAAAAAAAATATATTAAAATAGATACAATTTAAATTTAACCAGCACTTAAAAGTGAAGTCAGTTCAGAGTACGGCAAAATGGGCGAAAATGTTTTCTTTCTTTCTTAACATTACATTATTCATTATTTATTGGTGGCTTGCAAATGCAGGGGCAGAAACGCAGGTGGATGTCCATTGTTGCCTTTTTGAGCATTTTTTTGTGGCAAAAACAATTGCAACGTGCATATGTATGTGTTCGAGTTGTTTCTGTTGCAGTTTCAGGTTGAAAGTTTTATTGGACGAGCAACATAGTTGTGGGTTAATGTATTATTTAACCCCTGAAAGTGGAAACACAATTATATTTAAAAGTTGTTATCCCCATTTGTAAAAAGTATTTGAGCTTCTTTTAGTTTACCCTTTAAAATAAACACTGTAGTCAGCCTATATATGGCCAATTTAGCGATTAACCCATCTATCAAAGTCAAGCCTTAATCCGAAACATCCCAGAACTAAGACCAAATTCAATTAGTCTTCCACTATCGATCAAAATCAATTAAACGCTGCCTTGCCGGAGTCGAAAAATTCTACAAAATTATATCGCTATTATGCAAAACGAGTCGTAAAGTTTGCCTAGACAGGCGAAACTTTGGCAACAAATAATTTCTATGAGGCTAAGTTATATTCGATTATCCCCCGACCCATACAACCCCCCTTCCCACACGCAAATTATTTGCTACTTTTTTCGCTTGGAGAAATTTCATTTGGGGGCGAGGAGCGCGGAGCGAGGAATGTGAATTTCTGTGGGGCTGCTTCGAAAGTTTTTGCTGACTCAAACAATTAGCTGCGATTGAAAGTTATGTCCGGAATAGGAAACCAAGCACAGAGCACACAGCACAGAGGAGATAATTGTGTCTGAAGGTATTCGGCGGGCTGGCTCCTGCCGTCTTACCAGCAGCTGTAAACGTATTTTAATAATGCAAACCTGCAAAGAGTGCTGCAAAATGTTCCCCAAAGCCTCACAAACCGCAGAAATGGCCAAGAAAATCGGCAAAGCGCAGCGAAAACAAAAAGTGAAACAAAACAAAGGCTAGAATCGAAAGAAGGGCCAAAAACAAAAGCTCATGGCGCACTTTTCGGTTGCTGCGACTGTCAAGCCAAATGCACAGAGACAAAGGCTAAAAGGGGCTGAACAAGGGGTTGAAGGGTTGAGTGGGGGGGAGGGGGTGTAGTGGTTTCTAGAGAGGTTTAAGCCATCTGAGGTGGAAATGTTGCCATCCATGTTGCACGTCCTGACCGAAATACTAACACCAAACTCCCGAGGGTCGACCATTAGGTATCCAATTTAATGTCTAATTTTTTTTTAACAATTTTCCAAAGAAAAGCATTTTTAAGAACAAAATGATATTGCCTTTTCTCTACCGATCGCGTTTCATAGCCACAGAATGTGACTGCCAAGATGTAGTTTCTAGCCTAAAAGGCAGGTAATGAGGAAGAATAATAATATTTGTGGCATAAACAATAAGCAGGCTAACATTCATTTTGATCACCTTTGCACAGTCTTAAGCCATTAATCTTAGTTAGTTTTATAATGACAACTTTATGGCTTCAGCCGTTAAGAGTAACTAATCATAGCCCGAAAACGAATGTGGCTAAACTGAAATTCTGGCTCTTTGTTCAAAATGGCATGAATATACGTTCTGTGCAGTTTTAATTAATGTTCAAAGGTTGCTCCAATGATGTTTGCTTTCTGATCAAATGAAATATTTTATGGGCCCATCATTTGGGTTTTTCAGGCATATCAATCGGGGTCTTTCCAAATTGAGAGAACGAAAAAACGTTGTTATTTGGTAAATTTGCAACGTATATACTCGAATTACCCATTGGCATTCCGCATCCCTCATCCCGCATCCCGCATCCGACCTGCTTTTGTTGCCCACTGTGGCAGTGGCATTCGGCACTCGGCATTCGGTACGAGCATTCAGAGGACTGCGGTCTGTGGGCCAAAAACAGCGTTTGGTAACAATGCGCTGCCATATTTTCAAGGTCCCCGAACTGCGGCAGGAGTAAATCATAGCCAGAGACAAAGCAAAGGGCTAAGGACGCATCTTGTGGTCGGCTGAGTCCGCCTCGAGGCACTCAAGGATGAGGAGGGCAGGGAAGGGCAGGGATCTCCTCCGGCCCAGGCCAAACGGAACGAAACTAAATCAAAGCAAAAGTCTGGCAAATTAAATAATCAAAAACAATTGTTGGAGAGCTCCTTGGTCGGCGACGAGGGCAAATTGGATTACGTGTAGATTGGTTAAGATGCCGCCAACCCCAAGACTAGCTGAGTACATAGATCTTGATATATATATGTACATTGCGTATTATGTATAGTGTACAGGGAGTGTGTATAAATATCAGCACTCGGTTAGAGATAGTGAACTGACCCCAGAGGTTATCGCTATCAGCGAAGTGGCCGCGTTTTCAGGTCGTCTCGTAGATTTCTTTTCGAATAATATTATCTGTAAAGCTT